AAATAGGCTTCAATAAAGTGAGTACATCATGCCTTTCTTAGATGTCTGTTTTATTCACTTCTTAATTTTTACCAAAAATAAACTCCAATTCTCTCCTTTGAACTCATTGTTAATATCTGTATAGTGATTTTCAAGGACACAGTCTTTTTGTGGTTTATATGCTGACATTGTAATCATTAGAGGGAACAAATATGAGTATCTGTTGCAAGAGTAAATTGATACAATGAATCATTGTGAAAGCTGTTGATTTCATGTCTAAACAACCATGGAGTTCTTTCCCTGCAGTTAAGTATAAAATGTTCTGGCAGTTAATAGGAATCTCAGCAAAGTTAGTAAGTATCTTTAGGATGAAAATTTACTTCCTTTTACACAGATACTGTGTTCTAGTACAGATACTATAACAGAGATATGTGACAGAAAGCCCAAGGTAAAAGCTTAAACATGAAAAAGTATTTCTATCCTGTGTATGTCTAAACATAAACAATCCAGAACAATCCTAATATGAGGCTCTGGGGACTACTACTGTTTGACCATCTCCAGCAATGATTTCATTCATGGTACAATATAGACACTCAAGCTCCAGCAGCAATTGTGTCTGAAATTAAGTCAGCAAGGAAGAGAAAGAGAGGAAACAATGGTACTTCAGGTCCCTTTAGAATGCTTTATTTTGAGGTTAGAGAATGTTAGCCAATGATTGAAAGCATTAGGTACCAAATTCAAGTCCTGGTCTCAGACCAAAAAAAATATTTTTCCATCTTATTTACCATTGGCTTGGATTTAGGCACATGATCATTCATCATGACAAAGGAAGTTGGGGCTTTTTATTCTTGGCAGTCATGTACCTATCTAAAAACAGAATACAATGAATTAAGGAAGGAAATGAGGAGAGTAAATATCAAGGAGCAACAGCAGCCTCTGTCTTAGGCCTTAAATACTCTCGAGTTCTAGAGGGATGGTTAGTTTGATTGATTGATTGGGACAAGTCTCATTATGTAGCCCACACTGGTCTCAAACTCTCAATCCTCCTCCTTCCACCACAAGAGTGTGGGAATTGCAGGCCTATGGCACCATGCCCAGTGTAAGCATTAAGTATTCTTTTAAAACAAACTAAAAGCCCAATATATTGGCAAAGCCTAAAATTCCAGCACTCCTGAGGCTGAGGATTGTGAGTTTGAAACCAGCTGGGGATACATAGCAAGGCCCTGCCCCCCACCACACACACACACAAAAAAACACATAATAACCCAGATGCTGGTGGCTCACACCTGTAATCATAGCTATTCAAGGAGGCTGAGACCTGAGGATCTCAGTTCAAAGCAAGCTCAGGCAGACAAATCTGAAAAATTCTTATCTCCAGTTAATCAGCAAAAAGCCAAAAGTGGAACTGTGGCTCACATAGTAGAGCCCCAGTTTGATTTTTTTTAAGTGAGTTCTGGGAGCCCTTGGTTCGTTGTAATCCTAGTTAATTAGGAGGATCTGAGGATTATGGTTTGAAGCCAGTCCTGGCAGAAAGTCTGTGAGACCCTTATTTCCAATTAGTGACAGAAAAAGCTGGAAGTGGAGCTTTGGCTCATGGTAGAATACCAGCCTTGAGGAAAAGGAGCTCAGGGAGGGCACCTAGGCCCTGAGTTCAAGCCTCAAGTCCAGCAAAAATAAATAAATAAAAAAGACAATCAAGAATACGAAGTCCTGAGTTCTAGCTCTAGTACCAACACACAGACACACAGAAACAGACACAGGCACACACACACACACACACACACACACACACACACAACCCCACACATACAGCACAATACATGAACAGCTAGATATCAAAATCCAAGCTCAGGACTGGGAAGGTGGCTCAGTGGTAGAGTGCTTGCCTTGCATGCACGAGGCCCTGGGTTCCATTCCTCAGCACCACATAAGCAAAAAAAAAAAAAAGAAGCCGGAAGTGGCGCTGTGGCTCAAGTGGTAGAGCACTAGCCTTGAGCTGAAGAGTTAGGGACAGTGCCCAGACCCAGAGTTCAGGCCCCACGACAGGACCAAAAATAAATAAATAAATAAATAAATAAAATAAAATAAATCCAAGCTCACTACAGCAAGCAAGAAAAGGGTAGAATTTTGTAAATCTGATTTTATTACTTACTAAGAACATAACTTGATCTGAGTGAGTCTCAGATATCTAAATCAAATTTAAATAAAGGTAATCATACCAACTACATGAGAAATGGTAAGAATATATCAAATATCCTGCAAAGCTGAAGCCATAGTGACTCTCCTCTCCTATATCTAGCTCTATCTTCCACTTGTCCACCAGAAGGCTTCAGAAGAGTTCTGTCAGAAGCACAAGTCCTGGGCATCATTAGATAATGGTTAAGTCTGCTCACAGGGAAAGTGAATTGCTTCCTTCTACAAAATGAAATCTATAAGCTAGTGGCTCAGGCCTGTAATCCGGGCTACTCAAGAGGCTGAGATATAAGGGTCACATTTTGAAGCCAACCTGGGGAAGAAAAGTCCATAAGACTCTTACCTCCAATGAACCACCAAAAATGGAAATGGAAGTGTGGCTCTGTAGTAGAATGCTAGCCTTGAGCAAATAAGCTAAGGGACAGCACCCAGTCCCTGAGTTCAAACCCCAGTATCAGAAAAATAAAAATAAATAAATCTACATAGTATGTGAGACAAATAAAGATGATGAAAGCAGCTATCATAGTATCTACATTGATTATCCCACAGTGGTATTATTGTCCCCATCTTCCTGATGAGGATGCTGATCTGAATCAGTAATTTTCCCTATCAGTCAGCCACCCTTGCTAGACCCTTGGGGAATCTGACCTCAGAGTCTGAACCTTGATCCTTATATCCAAGTGATACTCTGTGGTTTTGTTGTTGTTTTTGGTGCCAGTCCAAGGGCTTGAACTCAGGGCCTAGGCACCGTCCCTGAGCTTTTGTGCTCAAAGCTAGCACTCTACCACTTGGGTTATAGTTCTACTTCCAGATTTGGGGTGGTTCATTGGAGATAAGAGTTTTGTGGACTTTCCTGCCTGGGCTGGATTCAAACTGTGATCCTCAGATCTCAGCCTCTTGAGTAGCTAGGATTTCAGGCATTGAGCCCCCTGTGTCCAGCGGGCCTCCTATCTATCCTACTGGATTGGGAATACCTCTGAGAAAGAGCAGGACAAGGCCCTACTTCATTCCTCTGTACTCTTTTTTTTTCTAATTAAATATTTTAATTTTTATTATAAAGGTGATATTCTGAGAGGTTACAGTTATATAAGTCAGGACAATTCCACCCCTTCCTTCGCTCTCTCCCAGTTTTCCCTCCTATCCCTGCTCACAGGTTGTATAGTTCATTTTTTTTCAGGTCCTGGGGCTTGAATTCAGGGCCTAGGCACTGTCCTTGAGCTTCTTTTGCTCAAAGCTAGGGCTCTACCCCTGGAGCCACAGTGCCACTTCCAGCTTTTTCTGTTTATGTGGTACTGAGGAATTGAACCCAGGGCTTCATGCATGCTAGGCAAGCACTCTACCACTAAGCCACATGCCCAGCCTGTATAGTTCATTTTCAATGTAGTGCCTAGTGAGTGTGAGTACCACTGCTGCATTTGTGCACCCTTTGTCCCTTCATTTCTCCTCCCAAAGACAGATCAACAAAAGAGAAAAACAAACAAAAATAACCCTCTTGGTCCCATTTCCTGCAGTTCATCTTGATAAGTATTATACTATATGACCAGAGGTACCCTCCTCTGTACTCTGCAACTTGCCCATTCTCACACTGCGCTTGGCAGCTTGCGAGCATGGTGGCCCAAATGGTCTGTGCATAGGTGAGAAGTCAGTTTCCTTTCACCATCGTCTCCTCCCTCTGTTTGGTCAACCTGTGCTAGGCACAATAGCTGCACCCAGGGGCTCTTTCTGCTCCTCATGGGTGTGACTAAGGAGACTGTTTCACAGGATGGGGGCCACCCAATCTCTATTCGTTTCCCCATAAATCTCCACTGCTCTTTCCAGGCCTCACGGTGACAGGCATACACAGAATTCTCTCCCTGTCTCTGTAGAGAAATTTGGTGACTCATTTGGGGACCTTACCCAGATACTACAAAATCTCCAAGCCATTCTGAAAAAGCTTCCAACCCTACTCCAGGGCCAAGGCAGAGACACCACCTGTCAGAAAGAAGAGACACATTTGCAGGGTTTTCAGGTAACTTTAATTGGAAACATGACCTCCATGATGCAAGCCTGGCTCTGTGGGGGAGCCCCTGGCCTCCGAATGCAGCACGGAGGGTGAGTTAGGGATCTCTGACCTCCCTAGCATTATTCAAACTATGAATCTGAATAAGCCTTCATATAACTGTGGATGACATCAAACTAGAAATTCCTTTCTCCTCAATACCAAATCTTCCTCATATAAGATTTTTTTTCTCCAAATACAAACAAAACTATTTGGAATCAAAACACAAATTTGTGAGTGTACCAAACGTCTCTCTCTCTCTCTCTCTCTCTCTCTCTCTCTATATATATATATATATATATATATATACACACACACACACACACACACACACACACACACACATATACACACACACACACACACACACACACACACACACACATATATATGTATATATATACACATATGTGTGTGTGTGTGTATGGCACATATATAAGCAGATAGTGAGTTGGTTATAAAAGCACTCAAGCTTAGCTGGGTGCCAGGCATTCATGGGCACCCATCTCTATAATCATAGCTACTCAGAAGGCTGAGATCTGAGGACTAGATCACAGTTTGAAGCCAGCCTAGGGGAACACATTCATGAGATTTCATCTCCAATTAGCCAGCAAAAAAAACCCCAAAAACCAGAAGTTGAAGTATGGCTCAAGTATGATGGTAGAGCATCAGCCTTGAGTGAAAAAGCTGAGTGAGCATGTGAGGGCCTGAGATCAAGCCCCAGGACCAGCACACACACACACACACACACACACACACACACACACACACACACACACACACACACACTCAAGCTTGGAGGAAGCCATAGGCCCCAGCCCATTCAGTATTCAAGCCTTTACCCTGCTCGGCCCATGTCAGATTTTCCCAGCCTCTATGCTGAGAAGATTCAAATTCTAGAAAAGACCAGCCCAACAGAGGACTGAATTGCATGCCCCTTCTACCTAAGCTGTATCCAATCACAGCCATTATAGTCATCTGGAATTTTGATCAGTCGATCTTCACCTTCACAGTAATATTATCGTCAGGTTTACCCTCTCGCCCATCCAAAAAGAGAAAAGGAGGCAACCCCTGCCCTTCCGATCAAAGACGAGGCCAGCGGTGCACATGTGGCACCACCTTCTCCCTCCAGCAGTCCGTTTCTTAGGCTATCTTCCTTAAAATAAAGAGTTGACCACTTCTCTACATTTTCCTAATTGGTATCTTTCCCTTCTGGACTAGGGGGGGTCCCTTTTTGTAGATTTAGAATGTGGGGTTCTTGGGATCCTCTCTCCCCTCTTGGGTCCAAAGCAAGCAGCACTTCAGTTTCGAATGAGCCCTCTTGTCCTCTTCCGGCTTGAAGTTCTATTGGGTAGAAGACACTACATAGGCTGTGGCGATGTACTTCCTGCCATTCCCGTAGGTGGTCTTGTCCCAGGTGTAGGTCTGGATGGCCAAGGGGTATCCACCTAGGCTTAACTGGCACCTGTGGAGGAAGATCCTAAGTCAGAGGCTCCCACTGTCTTGCCCCTCCTCTGTCTGCACCAAGGGAAGGCTCCAGGCAGATTCTGAGAAGGTCCAGCCTCCAAGATGAAAGCTCCCGCAGAATCAGAGATAGCCTTCACCATCCACACCTGATCCACCATCCCCTTAAAGAACAGAGCTTCTCACACAGGGAAGTGGCGCTGTAGCTCAAGTGGTAGAGCACTAGCCTTGAGCTGAAGAGCTGAAGGACAGCGCTCAGGTCCAGAGTTCAAGCCCCACAACTGACAAAAAAAAAAGAACTTCTCACACAGGAGGCTGAGATGGGAGGATCACAGTTAGAAGCTGGCCCAGGCAGGAAAAGTCCATGAAACTCTTATCTCCAATTAACTATTAGCCAGCCTAAAGTAGAACTGTGGCTCCAGTGGTAGAGTGCCAGCCTTGAGCGGGAAAAAGCTAAGCAAAGCACACAGATCCTGAGGTCAAACCCCAGGACTGGCACCAAAAATTAAAAAAAAATTTAACAAGAACAGAATTGCTCATCTTTTCTAGAGTAATAATCCAAACTCCTAGATCCTAGAGCAGAAGTCCTCAGGAAGTCTATGTTTGCTTCCTGTTTCAAAAGTCAAAGGGTCAAAAGTTCCCAAGTGATGGAGAGCAGAAGAACCAGTTGTTACCTCCTGTTCTCTCTGAGGCTCTAGGTTTTGTCCCACCACACACAGAGCCAAATTGAGAGGATGAGAGCCCCAGGACAACTCCATCTTTAACATCCTTATATATTAAGTTACCACATAAAACTTCAGTTAGAGTGGGTGCTGGTGGCTCATGCCTGGAATCCTAGCTACTCAGGAAGCCAAGATCTGAGAAGCACAATTCAAGACCAGGTTGGAAACTCTGAGAGACTCTTATCTCCAATTAGCCAGAAAAAAGTAGGAAGTAGAGAGTGGAGTGCAAGCCTTAAAAAAAAAGAAGGCAGATGGGGCTGGGAAGGTGGCTCAGTGGTAGGGTGCTTGCCTTGCATGCCTGAGCCCTGGGTTCGATTCCTCAGCACCACAGAAGCAAAAAGAAAAAAGCTGGAAGTGGCGCTGTGGCTCAAGTGGTAGAGTGCTAGCCTTGAGCTGAAGAGCTGAGGGACAGCGCCCAGGCCCAGAGTTTAGGCCCCGTGACCGGACCCCCCAAAAAAACAAAAAAACAAACTTCATTTGGGGGCTAAGACAATGGAAGATGATTCTACTGCTAGGATGAAATTTAGTGATCACTAAATGAATCCTAATAACCTCATTATCCAAGAGATCAAACTGAGGCCCAAACCTAGTAAGTTATCCAAGCCTTCTCAGCCATGGTGTGAAGACTCTAGTCCTCCCGATCTTACCCCAGCCAAAGAGTGTGAGGCCCAGCCACTGCCCCAGTACCCTGGCTGGATCAGTACTTACGTTTTGCCTGGTCTAGCGATGAAGCACAGGGAGTAGAGGGCAAACTCGAACTCGGGGCTGCTGCCGATGAAAGCCGAGCCCACTTCCTTGTAGTAGCCATCCCAATTGAACTGCATTGCCAACACATCAGGATAGGAATCCCACTACAGAGGGAAAAGTAGCAGAGGGAGACTGCTCAGGCCACTGACAAAGAGGTCGCAGTCAGGGGCCGTATGAGCTGCCCAGGGTCATAGGGATGTGACCATTTCCTGCGGCCTTCGCACATGGAAGAGAAAGTTTATTGTCCTCAAATAGTATCTCGATGCAGGGTGCCAGAGAATTCTTATAAAATAGAGAAAGCTAGGTACTGGTGGCTCACACCTGTGTTCCTAGCTACTCAGAAGGCTGAGATCTGGGGGTCAACATCCGAAGCCAGCAGGACAGAAAAGTCAGTGAGACTCTTGTTGCCAATTAACCACTAGGAAACTGGAAGTGGTGCTATGATTCAAAGTAGAGCACTAGTCTTGAGCAAAAGAGCTCAAGGACAGTGCCCAGGGCCCGAGTTCAAATCCCAGAACCAAGACACACACACACACACACACACACACACACACACACACGTGCGCGCGCGCGCGCGCGTGTGTGTGTGTGTGTGTGTATTTGTATATATGTATGGAGTTTAGCTCTTACAAGTCAGCTGAAACTTCATCTACATCTTCTTTCTTTCTCATTCCTTCTCTCTTTCCTTCTCTCTTTCTTCCTTTCCTTCCTTCCTTCCTTCCTTCTTTCCTTCCTTCCTTCCTTCCTCCCTCCCTCCCTCCCTCCCTCCCTCCCATACTTCCTTTTTTGTGCCAGTCCTGGGGTTTGAACTCAGGGCCTGAATGCTGTCTCTGAGCTTTTTTTGCGCAAGGCTAGTGATCTATCACTTGAGCAGCAGCTCAAATTCTGGATGTTTGGTGGATAACTGGAGATAAGAGCCCTGTGGACTTTCCTGCCTCAACTGGCTTCAAAACACAAATCCTCAGATCTGAGCCTCTGCTAGGATTACAGCTGGGTGTGAGGCACCAACACTCAGCTTCCTCCAGCTACATCCTAAGAGCAGTGGTGTAGAAGGTGCCTGCAACTCTCTGGCTTTCCACTCTGAGAATCCTCTTCTGCCCTTGGCCTGCTGTCTGGGCATGAACCCTTTGTCTCCTGTCCCCTGCACTTTCTAAAGTTCACTGCTTGGAAGATATTCCATCTCCTGGCTGATTAAACCACCTCCAGCAAATGAGGTCACCAGATTCCCAGTTTCCATTGGGCTGCTGTTACACACCAGGGTGAGAAGCAAGGACAACCATTCAGAGTAGAGTGACTGTGGGAAGTGAGGCACCACAAGGCTTGCTTTCTAGCCCAGGGACTCACCGGCCCATCATAGATGTGGCTGTAGTAGTCAACCAAACCCTCCTTCTCCTGCAGGTAGAAGCGGATCCAATTATGGAAGCCAGTGACTTTGCCCTTTTTGACTTCACCTATAATGAAATAAAAAGGAAAAAAAGAAAAGAGCAAGGTGATTGACACTTCCTTCCCTGCCCTGTCATCTTTCTACTACCCTAACCCCAGGAGTTCTCTCTGTCTCTCTCTGTCTCTCTGTCTCTTTGTCTCTGTCTCTGTCTCTGTCTCTCTCTCTCTCCCCTCAGTTTCTAGACTGTCCATGGGATTAGCCACGTGTCTGCCTAGAACCCTTCATATTCTCAATCTTTCCTTTCAGCTCAGGTCCAAGGAACAATCCTTCCTCCTGGCTGATGCTAAGGACCTCACCACCATATTTTCTTCTCCATGATTTCTCCAGGAACAAGCCAGGATTGGTGGGAGCCTGTGGGACAGGTCTCTTTGAAAAGAAGCAGAAAATGGCTCCGAGACAGATCAATGATGCCCCAAACACTCACTCATCCTAGATGTAAGCCCCTGGGAAACTCCGTATCTGGTCTCTTTTCCCCCTCTGAGATACTCTAAGAGACGCCATAGTGATGGCTGGTCACATCCCACCCTTCTAGCCCAGGGGGGGTGAATAAGACCTGTGGCCAGCTGGCTGGGTTCATGACTCATCAATGCTCAGAGCAAAGCCAAACCTCGTCACCCCTCCCATTCTTTCTTTCCAAGCAGAATGATCCCACCTGAAAAGACATGTTCGAAGCCACTGGAGTCTCCCTCTTCACTGCCTCTGGAATACAGTCCAAACCACATGTGCTTCAAGTCTTCAACAAACTCTTGTTCAGAGCTGTAGCGATCTGTGGAGAAGAGCATAAAGGATTCTGGGAAAGGGTTCTGGGACAGGGCCTGGAAAACAGGGAAGTGCTACCTGTACCAGTACAACTAGAGAAACAGAAGTCCAATCAACAAGTCTGATCCGCTGTCTACTCCACATTGGGTGCCAGGGCCAGGTTTGAAGGCTGCAGAGTGGGCAGGGAAAAATAAGGGCAGGATTTCTGTCTCTACAATTAGACTTCAGGAAAAGAGACAATATCAACAGGGAACCACAAAATGAATAACATCATTTCATTTCATCTAAATGCGAAGAGCTGGATGCCTGTAACCTATGCCGGTCATCCTAGCTGCTCAGGAGGTTGAGATCTGAGGATCGTGGTTCAATACTAGTCCAGGTAGGAAAGTTCTTGAGACTCCTAACTCCAATTAAACGTCAAAAAGCTTGAGGTAGAACTCTAGTTCAAGTGATAGAGTGCCAGCCTTGAGAAAAAAAATCCAAGTGAAAATGCAAGGCCAAAGAGTTCACAAGAAAAAAATAAGTGGGAAGAAGACAATAGAACAAAGTTAAGTCATAATGACTGCAAATGGAGATCGAAGTTCAGTTAATATGTGTTTTTGTTTGTTTTGGTCAGTTGTGGGGCTTGAACTCGGAGCCTGGCCTCTTTGTCCTCAAGGTGAGTATGCTACCACTTGAGCCATAGCATCACTTCCATTTTTTGAGTGAAATTAAAGAGAAGAGTCTCTCTGGGACTTTTCTGCCCAGGCTGGCTTTGAACCTCGGTCCTCAGATCTTAGCCCTCTGGAGTAGCTAGGATTACAGGTGTGAGCTGCCAGTGCCCAGCCTGAGTTGCTATGTTTTGAATGTGTCTCCCCACTACCAAAGCCTAGTTGAGTTAGGAACTTAATACACTACATATCAGAACTAAAAGGTGGACCCTTTAAGAAGTAGTTAGGCTGTAAGACTCTGCTGCCATGAATAAATGAATGAATGAAGGCTATTTTGTGAGTATGGGTCCCTTATCAAGAGGGTGATCTCCATTTAAGGGATGTGCTCAGCACCCTTTTACCTTTCTCTTTCTCTCCCTCTGCACTTCTGCCTTCCAGTGTGGAAGGACAGGGCATGAAGGCTCTCACCAGATGCTCTCAATTTTTTTTCTTTTTTCTTTTCTTTCGTCCTGGGGCTTGAACTCAGGACCTCATGATCATACTTGGCCTTTTCTGCTCAAGGCTGGCATTCTACCACTGGAGTCGCACCTCTACTTCCAGCTTTTGGTAGTTAATTTTAGTAGAGGTCTCAAGGATTTTCCTTCCCAGGCTAGTTTTGAACTGGAACCCTCAGATCTCAGCCCCCTGAGTAGCTAGGATTACAGGCATGAGTCATCAGTGCCCTGCCAGATGTTAACTCTCAACCTTAAACTTCCCATTCTCTAGAACTACAAACCAATATGTTTGTGTATGTGATAAATTGTTCCCTTTACTTTCTGTTATAGCAGCATAGAACAAACTAAGACACACACTCTTCGCAAAAGGAAGATCAGAAAGGAATGTTCCAAAGGATAGCACTAATCACAGATTTCAAGGATAATGAGCTCTCTCCAAGAGATCTGGGGGCTGAATGCTTCTATGTCTGAAGCATAGAGAGTGGGGAAAAGTGCTTGGTAGGATATCTGAAGGTAGTGGGCTGCAGGTCCTGCATGCCATGGCGAGAAGTGGTAGTTTGTGGCGGCACATGCTTACAACCCCGGCATTTGGGAAACTGAGGCAGGAGAACTGAGAATCAAGACCATTCTGTGCTTTCTAGTGAGACTTTGTGTCAAAATGTAAAAGAAGGGCTGGGAATTTGGCTTAGTGGAAGAGTGCTTGCCTAGCATGCATGGGGTCCTGGATTCAATTCCTCAGTACTACATAAGCAAAAAAAAAAAATAGTAATAAAATTGTTTTAATGTAAAAGAACAAAGAAAAAAGGAGGAGGGATACAAAGAGACGATACAGGAGGAGAAAAGAAGATGAAGAAAGGAGAGGAAGGGAGAAAAGGAGTTAAAAAAGGAGGAGGAAAAAGAAGAAGGGATGGAGGCGAGAAGGGGGAAGAGGAAGAAGAGGTGGAGGAGAAGGTTAAGGAGCAGGAGGAAGGGTGAGAAAGAGGGAAAAGGAGAGTGAAAAGGATGAGGAAGAAGAGACAGAAGAGAAGAAGATGAAAAGGGAGAAGGAAGGAAGAGAAAGAAAAAGAAAGAGGAGAATGAAAAGGAGGAAGAGAAGAGAAAGGAGAAGGAGAAGAGGAGGAGAAAGAGAAAAAGGAGGAAGGATAGTGGAGGAGAGAAGGAGGAAAAGCAGGAGGAGGAGAATGAGAAGGTAGAGGAAGAAGAGATGGAAGAGAAGAAGATGAAGAAGGAGGAGAAAGAGAAAAAGAAGGAGAATGAGAAGGAAGAGGGGAAAGAAAACAGAGGAGGAGGAGAAAGGACAAGGAGGAGGAGGAGGAGGAGGAGGAGGAGGAGGAGGAGGAGGAGGAGGAGGAGGAGGAACAAGAGGAAATTATTTGGCAGCTTGGTAGCTGAGGAAGATCCAGGATACATTTTCAAGGTGGGAGGGGCTAACTGGTGAAGGAGATGGTATAGAGAACATGAAGTCACATCTGACTCTGGCTTTTGGCCTGAGAAATGGAATGGGTTGCGGTGATGTGTATGAGATGGGAAGACACAGGGAGGAGCAGGGCTGGGGGGAGACGTGAGAACTGGGTGTTCTCTTTACACTAAGTTTTATGTAGGTACAGATTAGAGAGCCACGTGATGTTCAAAAGGCCTTCGGGGCCCACGGGAAGGGTCAAGGCCCAGGCTTTCAATCATGAAGCCGTCCAATTCTGACCGTTCACTTCCCAGAACTGTGTGGGGAGGATCCAAAAGAGATACCAGGAATACTCTTCTCCTTTCAAGGATTAAAACACAGTTGGAAAACAAGATGGAATCAACATGCTATAACAGAATGAGTTCTCAAGGTAAATAGTTACCCTAACTAGCATTTAAATAGTTGCCAGGATTTCTACCGGGTCCTTTACAAATATTAATTCCAACCCCCCCCCCCCCGGCTCCAGTTTATTTCACAGATAAGAATCAAAGGAGAAAAACAACTTGATCAGGGTTTTAGTGCAATTTCTGTAATTTAACAAAACACCCGAGACCAAATCATTTATAAAGAATAGAAGTTAGTCAGGCTCATAATACTAGAGTTTGGGAAATTGAGGTGCAGGTATGTGGTGAGGGTCTTCTAATGGTGACATGGTATCTCCCAGCAAGACAGAGCAAGCATGTCAGAGAGCTTGTTTTTATAACCAAGCTACTCCTTCGACCATCCATTCATCTAGGAATGGATTCATCTCTCAAGGGAGCTCACCTCCAAATCTCAATCTCACATTCAATGTTAGGGCTCAAATTTCCAGCACATTAAATGTGGATAAATCCATCCAAGCCACACCACCATGATTGCACCATGAGTAAATCACAGAACCGTGTATCAAATCAAGTCTCGTTGACCCGTGGTTAATTTGGGCCATACCACAATCTCTCAAGAGGTACCAAAGCCAACAGAAGCTGAGCCATTGAAACTTTTCTAAGTGTGAGAAGACATGAGCTAGAACTTTGGAGGACAAGTGGGATCTGGACAGGGAAAGAGGGGAGAAGGCGAGCAACCTGGCCTGGAGAGCCCCTTTGTGACCTAGTTCAGGTCTAGCCTGGCTGGGCTTCAGTTTCTCTCACTAAACGTGAAGGGCTTCAGTTCCTTCCATTCATGTATTAGCATAGAGCAGACACCAGGGGGCGCTGTAGGATTGCATCACTACATAGGCTCCTCGGACCACTGGTTTCACCTAAAACAATCAGTGTTACCATCTCAGCCTAGGCAGTTGATGAAAGGCATTATTAGTTCCACGGATCCCACCATCAGTTGATGGGAGACCGGGACAGACCCACCCCTGAGACAAAGCCCAGCTGCCCCAGAGTTCAGGAAAGGAATCTGGAGGAAGGACAACTAACAACCAGAGCCCTGAGCCAAGGAATCTCAAAGCCAAGACCTTTTTTGGTCTGATTGGAATGGCTCTGTATCTTGAGACATTCCAGCCAGAGCTCTTCTGGGTAGAAGCATCTTCTGAACCTTTGTTGGATTTTCTCATGCTATTGCTTTGCAAACACGTGCAACTGGCCACGCCCTTTCATTGCAGGAGAGAGACAGAGACAGAGAGAGAGAGAGAGAGAGAGAGAGAGAGAGAGAGAGAGAGAGGTGGCAGGGATCTGCCTGAACTGTAGTAACTCTGGACAGAGGAGTGACTGAAAGGTGCCCTGGGGTGGGACAGGGGACAGATGCAAAGGATCCTGAGATGGACACAGATGGTAGAGGACCCACAGATGGCTAACAACCAAAAGATGAAATTATTTCCAAGCCAGTAGACAGAGAACCCTCAGATCCTGATGGGGTTCCTGATTTCTCTACGCCTTGTCTGTGATCCTTCTCAGATGTCTCTGCGTGGTCCCTACCACCCCCTCACCCACTCTTCCAGCCACCCTACTAGCAGGGCCTGACTCTCCCATAGCCCATGCACTATGTCCCCATGGCCTCCCAGGGCCTGGGGTCAGCTTACTCACTCTGGTGATGGAGGAAGCCGTAGAGTTCTTTCATGACGGCCGTCTTCATGACCTCTCTGAGGAAGACAGCCTGCTCCTCCAGCTGCTGGGCGCTGAAGTGTTCTCCATGGCCAGTGGCTCTCTGGTAGTTGTTGAGCAAGTTGATGAATGCCGCATAGGTGGGCTTGGAGAACAGCTGTTCATTGACATAGGTGAAGAGCCTGGGGCAGATGGATGGAGACTCACTGAGAATCCTCCACAAGTAGCAGAAAGCCCTTCCAGAAACTTCTGTACAGGTTAGGTGCTTCCCAAGAGGGGTGGATTCAGAAGCAGAGAGGACTCCGAGTGCTTTTTTTTTTATTTTGGTTCTAGAAGTGGGGCTTGAACTCCGGTCAGTGAGTGCTTGCTCAAGGCTGATACTCTACCACTTGAGTTACATCTCCATTTTCAGCCTTTTGCTAGTTCATTGGCGATAAGACTCTTGGGGATTTTTTTCTGCCCAAGATGGCTTTGAACTTTGATCCTCAGATCTCAATCTCATGAATAACTAGGATTACAGGTATGAGCCACCATACCCAGTTGCTCCTAAAAGTCACACATGAGGTCCCTCTTGGAAGATCAATATTATCTCTGCCACAGAATCCCCTCCCAACTAAGGTCACCAACAGCCCTTCGAGGTGCCTTCACCTCTGGCCACCCCTTTATCCTGCCTGGCCTGAGATGCAAATAGCTAAGGTATCAAAGGAAGCAAGGAGGCACAAAGGAGAACTCACGGCTCTGGGCAGTGATCCACTTGGTCTCCTGTCTCGGCTGGGGTGATGCGGTTTTGGCTATTGAGGATGATGTCTTCCTTCCGGGCCTTGTTGGTGTCTACCTTGTAGATCTTCTCAGAGATGCTCCGAAGCTCTTCTTTGGTAATGGTGTCACTACTGTAGGAGAAACCCTCTGGGACAAATTGGGGAGTGGGGGAAAGGTGGTCAGAGCCAGAAGGAATGCGGTGGGATGGGCAATCGCGTCTACCCCCTTGTGAGCTCTTTCTGGAAGCCAGATCAGAAAGAGGGACTTGGTAGTTGAAGGACAGGGGCTCAACGGATGCTGAACATCAGCACAGGTAATTCCATGATGGCCACAGAAAGTCCACCCTCATCCCTTCCCTCGAAGGAGTGCAGTCTAGGTTTCAGAATGCCCTGGAGGGCACGTTCAGGCAGAGTGGCAAGCCAGCTCCCAGCTTCTCAACCGTGTGGGGTGGAGGCCCTGGCTACCACCTTTTACAGAGTCTCAGCCCAGGCTGTGGCTGCTGACCAGCAAGGCACCACATCTGGAGAACCACTTCTCTAGAAAATCCCTCACATCTCTGGGCATCTCCATAGGGGATGGACTGACCGTGGTCACCACACAAGCTCTCAAAGTCTTCGCAGCAGTTCCCAAATTCCTGGCAGCGGTCATTGCAGTGGCAAGGGTGGTGTTTGTCAAAGGCTTCTCGGCAGCGGCCCTGGCAGGAGTTGGGTGCTAAGTACAGGTCTGCCAAGAACAAAGGGGAGGTGTGAGACCAGGTCCCTGTGACCACCAGGGGGCGCGCCAGACTTCCACAGGCCCTGCTTGCCACAGACCCTGCTTGCATCCCTGGGCCCAGCTCCCTGCCCTTCCTACTAGAGGTCTCCAGGGAAGGGAAACAAACAAATCCCATTCCTGCACACCCTGCAGTCAGGAAGTTCCTTCTGAGGTCTGACTTTACTTTCTGGTCTGTTGTTTTCATAATCTTCCCACTCTAAAAATAAAGTTCTTCCACTTCCCTCCCCAGGCCTCAGGCGCTCTTTCCTGTTCACTGGCCTCCCCTTAGCTGCTTGAGCCCCAGTCTCTAGCCTGGGCCTGCTGCTGCTGAAGATAAAGTGACCCTCCCATCTCCCCCCACCCCCATCTGGGGAGCAGGCTCACAGCTGGCAGGGGCTTCTTCCAGCTCCAGGTGTATATCGGGTTCTGTGGGGTCCTCTTCAGCTGTAAGTAGAGAAACAAAGTCACCAATCATCTCCAAGACTTCTCTTCCCATTTTCTCCTAGTCCTCTGCTCCCCAACTTCAGGAACAAGAAATTAACAGATACAGGGTACAGAGGACAAGTTCTAGATGCTAAAGAATAAAAACTGGACATGTAAGCTATTTCTGATGGATTTCAAATTACTGAGATTTTATTTTTCAAAATATGAAAATAATTCTCCCCCCCCCCGCCCCAGCCCCCGCAGTGGATCATTTGGATACCCAGGGGAAGCTGGGCATGGTAGCTTACACCCCTAACCCTAATTGTTCAGGAAGCTTAGGTGGGAAGGATTGTAGCTGGAGGCCAGCTCAGGAAAAAAGCTTGCAAGACCCCATCTCAATCAATAAAAAGCTGAATGTGGTGGTGTGCATCCAACCACATGGAAAGTATAAATAGGAGGATTGTAGTCCAGGCCTACCCAAGCCAAAACAAAGGCCCTATTCAAAAAATAACTGAAACCCAAGAGCCAGAAGTATGGCTCAGGTGTCAGAGAAGCTACTTAGTAAGCACAAGACCCCTGAGTTCTGACCCCAGTACTGCCACAAAAAGGGGTAATGGTGATGCTTTCTGAAAGCTCTGGTTGTCTATGACAGTAGTCTTGATGTTCTCCAAACAACAAAGCCCTGACCTAAGACCATCTATTATAACTCCTGTAACTTCTCAGTCAGGGGGAAATTCCTAGGCCTTACCAAATAAGAACTGTATCCTGGCTGGGTGCCAGTAGCTCATACCTAATCCTAGCTACTCAAGAAGCTGTGATCTTGAGGATACTAGTTTGAAGCCAGCCAGGGCTGGAAAGTCCATGAGACACTTACCTTCAATTGACCACCAAAAACCCTGGAAGTGGAGATGTGGGTCGAATGGTAGAGCACTAACCTTGAGCAAAAAAGCTCAAGGACAGTGCTCTGGTCCTGAGTTCAAGCCCCCCAAAAAAGGATCGGCACAAAAAAGAAAGAGGAAGGAAGGAAGGAAGGATAAAAGCAAAAGAATTGGTAATGTTATTCATGTTAACCTATTGCTTATTGTTTTGTTCTTTTGTGGAATTAAGTACTTAAAATTTCAAGGTATTGCTCATCTTGATCATTTAACATAAATCTTGCAACTGAGGGATATCGATCACATTTAAATTGGGGACCTCTAGCCAGATGCTGGTGGCTCACAGTTGTCATCCTAACTACTCAGGAGGCTGAGATCTGAGGATCTGGGTTTGAAGCCAACCCAGGCAGGAAAGTCTCCAATTGACAACCAAAAAGCCAGAAGGAGAGCTGTTCCATTCAAGGACAATGTACAGGCCCTGAGTTTAATTAAGTTCAATATCAACACAAAAACTGGTGACTTCCTAGAAAGTTTGAGATGAGTAGTAGCCAGATCCTGAACCACTGCCTCTGTCTTTGAAGGCTCTCCTGTCCAGAAGGTCTGCACTGAGTCCCCAGGTCCCCTCTGGACAGCAAGACACTCCTTGGGTAGACTTGACTCATAGGTGGCCAGGCCTGCTTGGCCTCTGGACTCTCCACCCTCCAAGAAGCCTCACCAGTACACAGATGTTCATAGTCCTCACAGCAGTCCCCGTGGTGGGGACAGCGGCGGTCACACTGGCAGGCAGCATCCCGGTCAAACTTCTCATGACAGCGAGAGGCGCAGGACTCCATGTTTCCTAGAAGTTGGGGAAAGTCCAAAACTGAGCTCTCTGGTGATTCTGGACACTCCTCACAGTGCCCCCTACAGGAAGGTTTATAGATGGGCAGGTAAGGTCATAGGCTCTAGTTTAGCCTCCATTACCACCACTACCTCTACCCTCACTATTCCCAAACTCACAGCCCTGACCAAGGTCTCAGCTTCAATTGCCTGCTGGATGAAGTCAGAGACGTGAACAAGCAAAGCAGCAGGATAAGACAGGAAGAGAAGCCAAGGGCTGATGGCTCACACCTGTCTGAGAGCTGAGCAGCTTGCTTCATAAGCCAGCCTAGGCATAAAAGTCTGTGAGACTCTTATCTCCAATAAAGCACCAGAAAACTGAAGTGGTGCTGTGGCTCAAGTGGTAGAGCACCAGCCTTAAGCAACAAAACTCAGGGTCAGCACCTAGGACCCGAAGCCGTAGGACTAGCATGCATGTGTATGTGAGCCTACACCACATACACAAACTTCAGGTCAGCCAAAGAAAGATGTGTGTGGGCTGGGTGTGGGTCACTGGTGGCCACACCACAGATCTGTGGCTGTTCTTCCAATGACTCCACCTGCCCTCTCTTCTACCCCTAACCCCGCCCCACCTCCTTCATGGTCACAGCTTTCTCTCCCTTCCTGCCTCTGGAACGCATTCAGATGAGTTTACGCTTGCTGGGATGAGGTGGGTATGGGTAAGAATTGGGCTTAGGGATGAGATTCTGTTATGTAACCACAGACCACATCCCTCGATCCAGACACATGATGTGCAGAAGCAAGCTTGGGGTCACAAGGAACATAAAACAATCAAGTTTAAAAGGCACAGTGCAAACCCACTACTATTGTGGAAGAAAATAAACAAACAGGCCTCACCAAGAGCTCCCACAGCAAAGGCAGTGTGGGGCAGGAGCCAAGAGGCTGTTTCCTCCCACTCTGGCCTTGAGGGGTAATAACAGAGCTTTTGTTTCCATTTGAGGTTCCTGAGGTTTCCCTATGGAGAATGCAGGATTTGGGGATCTGGCAGAGGTTTGCACAGAATGTCAAGGTCAGAATCAAGGACATTGTGAGCATCTGCATCAGACCAAGAAGGAAACAGACACCCAAAATGCACCAGGTGTGGAGGAAGGTTTTAGACAAAGAGCTACGGCAAAGGACTTGGGCTAGGAGTAAATTGGTTGATGAAATGACAATTTTGCATGAGTATTTGAGTAGGTCTAAGGTTAGGTAGAAGATGGCAGAAGAAGAGAGATAATGTTAGTTTTGTCTTTGGCTAACTATGGAATTTGGCTCTGGTTGTGCGGGACACAGGTCTGTATGTCCACTTAGGCCTGGCCAGAGTTGAAGGCAAATTTTAGGGAGGAGGGGTTACTAACTGGCTTGGATTTGGGGGCTTGGATTTATACCAGGTCTTGCTAGGGATGGCAGAGCACTGAGGAAAACCCAAGACCCTGGCAAAGAATATTTGGGGCTGGAAGTCTAGTTCTACTGTTTTCTATCTATGTGGTTGTGGCAATTATTTTGGAGGGTGATACTAGGTCTTAAACTCAGTTTGAACTCTCACTTTCTTTTGTTTGCTCTGCTTGTTTGTCCAGCTTTCTTACTCAGCTGGCACTCTTCCACTTGATCCACATCCCCAGCCTAGCTTTTGGCTGGTTATTTTCAGAGACAGCATCTCTTAAGCTCTTCTTCCTGGGCTTGGCTTCAAACCTGGATCTTCCACCTCTCCGCCTCCTGAATAGCTAGAATGACAGGTGGGAGCCATGAGCACCCAGTTTTGAATCAATTTTCTTTGAGTAAGAGAGATATCAGGTCAAGGTTAACTTGGGTCCTGAGGCAACTTCACATGATCTACGCCAACTCCAAGAGGAAAGGGCGATGGTCCAGTGGACTGTCCCCACAGGCTACCACGCCAGAGGCCACGGTGCCCTTCAAGCTCACAGGAACTCCTTGTGAATCTTAAACTACCTCCCTTGGCACCTGAATGCAAAGGTCTGAAGGGAAACCATCCAGCCAGAGAGGGAGCCTGGTCAGCTGCCCATTCTGCCCGCTTGGCAGCACACTGTATCCACAGGGAGAGAATGTGGGCGAGTCGGCACCCTGCTCTTAACGGGCCAGACCAGAAGGAATTCACCCTCCTCCAGCACTGGCACCCACTAAGTAGGACAACAAGTAAATAGTTGGCTGCGAAGCCCAGGAGGGCACCCCCCACTGGCCCAAGTAGACTGGACACGCTTTGTCATCCCTGCTCCAGAGCTTTGTCCCCCAGTGAGCGCCCCATGCCCAGGATCCTCACATTTCTCAGTGGCCTTGAGGCATGAGGGTGGTAGGCAGGAGTGGGAAGTCTTTTTTCCTCACAGGCGCCTTGCTGTGTTTTGCTGGGGACACTCAGATGACCAGTCATCCTGGCTACTCACTCCCGTGCCCCACCTCACACTTCCTGTGAACAGAGAGGCTTTGTTGAAGTCCTGCTTAGGAGCCAGGGCCTAGATCACTGCTCCCTCCAGCAATTTTCTGTCCCTTGTCACACTGTCTCATCTCTTGGACATGCTTTCTGCTGTCCCTTCCTTCCTTTCTTCCTCCCTCCCTCTCCCCCCCCATCTCTGTTTCCATGGAGACCTCATCAGCCAAGAAGCTTCATCCCCAGGACCAGCTTTCAACCTCTGTTGACTTGAAACAGCCTAGGCAGCAGCCTAGAGGACCAGGGAGTAGCCATGACACTCCTCTGTCGGTTTTACATTCTATCTGCTGGGCTAGGACAGACACTATAAGAGTCATTCCTCTTGCCTTCCATGGCCTCACCTCTCCACTCTCTCTACCTTTCAGGCTCACAGCCAGGTCTGATGCCTGCCTACACCCCTAACATCCTCAGGGACGTCCCCAGGAATCAGATGTCTCCTCTCCAAAGAAGATGGGGAGAGTTGAATCCCACCAGCCTCCCCTCCACTACCTCCTACTCTACTTCCGACAACCAACCATCCTGAGTCTTAGGTCTCACACCCTCTCTGTCTCTCTATTGCTTCCTTTCCATTCTCAGGGCACCAGAGAGGTGCTGGGCAGGGGTACAGGGAAGATCTAGGAACAAGGTTTTCCTACAAGGATTTTCCATTTAGGAATTCCATTAGGGATCTCCTTATCAACAGCCTGATTGGAAATGATCCCCAAGAGATCCCATTCCCACCCCCCCCAAATACTGATGATCACAATCCTAACTGAAATCCCAATGTCCTGAGATCTCACTCTTCTACTCTTTTCCTGTGTGATTTTTTTTTCTCCTGGTTCTGTGGCTTGAATTCAAGGCCTGGGCACTGTCCCTGAGCTTTTGTTCTCAAGGCTAGCACTCTAACACTTAAGCCACAGCTCCACTTCCAGCTTTTTGTTGGCTAACTGTACATAAGAGTCTCATGGAGGGGCTGGGAAGATGGCTCAGTGGTAGAGCGCGTGCCTTGCATGCCTGAGGCCCTGGGTTCGATTCCTCAGCACCACATAAGCAAAAAAGAAAAAAGCCGGAAGTGGCGCTGTGGCTCAAGTGGTAGAGCGCTAGCCTTGAGCTGAAGAGCTGAGGGACAGCGCCCAGGCCCAGAGTTCAGGCTCCACAACCGGACCCAAAAAAAAAAAAGAGTCTCATGGACTTTTCTGTCCTGGCTGGCTTCGAATTACTATTCTCAGATCTCAGTCTTCTGAGTAGCTAAGATTACAGGTGTGAGCAACAGCACCCAGCTATCCCCAGTGATCTTGTTTGATCTTTGCAACAGTCTCAGACAGGACCATCCTGGCAGGGTAAAATAACAACAAACTCTGGAGGCAGAGGAAGACTCGGCCCACACCCTTCAGCTTGGGCCCTCTCCTTTGGCACTCCTCCCTTCCCACCCACTAACTACCGATCAGTACTTCAGCATCAGCGTTTTGTACAGTTACAAAACAGGAAGGTATTCCTTTCCTCTGCCCCGGCTATCCCTTACATCCTTGAAATTGTAGGCCAAGCCCTCTCCCCCCCACCCCCACCATTTTATACCAGTACTGGGGGTTGAACTCAAGGCCTGGCCACTGTCCCTTAGCATCTAAACTCCAGGCTGGAGCTCTACCACTTGTGCCACAGTTCCATTTCTGCCTTTTTTTTTTTAAGTTAAAAGAGTTTCAAGAACTTTCCTGCCTAAGTTGACTTCAAACTGCAATCCTCAAGTCTCAGCCTCTGAGTAGCTAGGATTCCAGGCGTGAGCTATGGGTGCCTGTCTACTCTTTAGTACCCTTAACATTGGGATAAAGACCCTTTCCTTTGGCTGCTCTTACAGCCCCAGATGAGACATGGCCCACCACCTGATCCTGGATTCCTCTTTCCCTCCTGTGTTTGCCTATCTCTCAAGATTTCATGTAGACCCAGGTCACACACCCCAGACAACCTCATCTATCTTCAGCAGCAGAGAGGAGAGTGTCCAAGAATAACTGGACCAGTCCATCCCAGAAGGCCCCAGACCCACTTCACACACACAATGGCCCAAGAAAACAATACTTTGTGGGGTTAAGAAGTTGGGACCAGTGGTATTTGGAGTTAACCCTCCAAGATGGAAAGGGCTTCCATGAAACTAGTCCATCATCCCTACAACTCCTCCACCCCACACAGCCTACTCCTACAGGGACAGCACCTGTAGCCCATGCCTAAAGCTTCCCATTACTAGAGGACAGAGTTCACTCTCCCTCATCTCTCTGCCTTCATCTTCTGCCAAATGGCCTAGTCCTCTGTTCTTTAGGCAAGACCTCTCCCCACCTTACTCCTATGCCAACCAGAGAGAAACTCACCAGCCCATGCCAGGCCGCAGAGCATGATCAATGTGAAGGGCACTCCAACCCTCATGGTGGCCAGTTGGAGGATATTGACTTTCCGACTTTCACTAGAGTCAAGTATCTCAGCTCTCAACCGTGTTTTATTCCAGCGGCTGATCCTTTTAAAGACATCAGGACTTGTGGATCTGGTGTATCCAGATCCTTTCAGGAAGAAGAAAGGGGAGGGAGGGACCCCAGATGGATAGGAGGTAGAATGGAGGCGGGCCCCAACAGCTGTTTGAAGCTTGAGAGCAGGTGACTAAGCAGGCAGGTAGTGCCAGATGTGCAGAACCGGTAATGCTAGTCATTTATAGCTAAGAAAAAAAAATAGGCCATGCCAGCAGATGTAGCAAGATGAACCTAGTCTGGCAGGTTCCTGCTTATCTTTTTTTTTTTTTTTTTTGGTCAGTCCTGGAGCTTGAACTCAGGCCCTGGGCACTGTCCTTGAGCTTCTTTGGCTCAAGGCTAGCACTCTACCACTTGAGCCACAGCACCATTTCCAGCTTTTGTCTGTTTATGTGGTACAGAGGAATCAAACTCAGGGCTTCATGTATGCTAGGCAAGTGCTCTACCCATAAGCCACATTCCCAGCCCAGCATCTGCTTATCTTTGAGTGATCTTCTCTAACCAGCCACCTACCTGTTGTCACAGATCTAACCTGACAAGCAACAGAAAGTCTACGTTTAGAGTCACTGGGATTAAATGAAGAGTGGCCAAATCAGCTCACTCCTCACCTGATGGGAAAACCCTGTACACATCTCCAGTGGCTTTCCCTGCCTCCACTGAAAGCCCGTGGGACTGAAGAAGGTTGGGGTACACCGCACCAGAGCTGCTAATCTCCCCTTCACAGGTCTCATTTTCAACCCATAGGAGGTTCCACCCACAGACATGCGGATGTAGGCAAAAATGGATGATAAGACAACAGGAGAAAAATCCACGAGGCTAGTGGGGCATCTGTGGCCCATGTCTGTAATTCTAGCAACTCAGGACACTGAGATCTGAGAATCCAGTTTGCAGCCAACCTAGGCAGACACACCTGAGACTCTTATCTCCAATTAACCACCAAAAAGCTGGAAGTAGAGCTGTAGCTCAGGTGGAAGAGCACGAACCTTGAACAAAAATGTGAAAAGACAGTGCCCAGGCCTTGAGTTCTAGCCTTAGTACTGGCACAAAAGAAAAATCCATGAATATATAATTATATATCCAGGCAAAGATGCTTCCTGGGTAAACTTAGAGGGCCATACATTCATATGTGTGTGGAGATAAAGCAGCATATGGGCCTGAAGCCAGCCTCTCTGCATCGTTGGCCTGGACAAATATCATATTCCTCCGTCTATTCTCCTCCACCTAGGGCTCTGGAGCCTTGTCAGCTGTTTCCAGGGAGCCCAAGTGGGGACCAATCAGTAAGTGGAAGCCCCAGAAAGCTAAGTCCTTAGAGACCTGGCATGGGGAAAGGCTGGAGAAATTCTTCTTGGGACTGGTTGAGATTGGGGTGTTGACAGAGGGGAGCTAAGTCCAGCAGCATTATGGCTGTTGAAAAGTAGGCCTCACTTGTGGCTGGGCTATGAGTGGCGGTCGGGGCTATCAGGAGCAGGAGGCTGAGGGAGAAGCTGGCCCAGGGGATGACTAAGGGGAACACGTGCCCAGCCCAGCCCAGCCCACCACTCTCGTGGGATGAAACCAAGGCCGAGTCTTTGCAGCAAAGGATCCCTCATCTCCTGACACCTGAAGAGGCTGGATCTCTAGTGTCTGTCCCAGTGTGACTTGGGAGGGGTATCGCTGACCCCTAGGGCCAGTACAACCCATGTGTGTTAGAAATGGCCCTTGGTGTGACTTCTTTCCCCCTATTAGTATGAACGCTGCATTCTACATTTGTGTTTCCAGGCAGTGTGTGTGTGTGTGTGTGTGTGTGTGTCTCACGGGCCTTTTTGCCCAGGCTGGCTTCAAACCATGATCCTCACATCTCAGCCTCCTGAGTAGCTAGAGCTTCAGGTGTGAACTGCCCATGTCTGGCTCTAGATTTTCTTTTAAAGCTTGTAGGCAGCTATGACATTCGGCATCACCCTCTCTGCCCAGCCTGCCTGGATGCATTCATCAGACCCACCAGCTAGGCCTGCTCACCACAGCATCTGGTTGTGCTGACCATACCATGCTGTTTCCTTCCCTCCCTCCCTCCTTCCCCGCTCACTCATTGCCCGTCAGTTGCCTAGAGTTCAGTTCTCTCTCTTTTATTTATTCATTTGTTTATCTTGCTGGTCCTGGGGCTTGAACTCAGAGCCTTTGTTCTCTCAGCCTCTTCACTCAAGGCTGACACCCTGCCAGCTTCTCACCCCAGGTGTGTTTGCATAGCCAGGCTGTCTTGGACTCACAAAGCTGATGACAGGACACAAGAGTGAGCGGCAGGAGCAGTTCCTGACCCACCTGTGAAAATCGACACTCTGCCTAAATTATCATAATTATTCTTTCTCACTCACTCATTCATTCATTCCTTTACCTGACAAATGGAAGCCAGATACTGTCTAGCCATGATGGTCACAGGGGTGAGTAGCTCACAGCTGAAGGGAACGGGAGACAGGGAATGAAGAAAAGTCCATTTAAAGTTCTGATGGGGAACCAGAGAACATAATGCTGGCTCTGAAGTCAGACTGCTGGTCCCACTCCAACTCTGCCACGCACCAGACACTCAACTCTGACAAGTCACCTGACCCACCATGCTTCAGTTTCCCCTATTGATGTAATAGTACTGAGCAAGGCTGTCATGTCTGGTGCTGGTGGCTCACGCCTGTAATCTTAGCTACTCAGGAGGCTAAAAGTCTCTTATCTCCAATTAGCCAGCACAAAGTTGGAAACACAAGTGTGGCTCAAGTGGTAGAGCTCCAGTCTTAAGCAGAAAAAGCTAAAAGATAATGCCCAGGCCCTGAGTATAAGGACAAAATAAATTAAGGCTATTGTGAGGACAGAGTAATCCTCATAAAGCTATTATCTCATGGGTAGGTGATTAGTTAGGTGACTAATAAAGCAGACCCTGAGCACTCTCCCAAGGGCCAAGAGCAGGGCTGGCATTATAGCAAGGCCCTTTTGGTGTTCAGATCCCCAAACCAGGGTCCACTCTGGCTGGTCTCCACATACATAAACAATTGTAACCCTCCCATACCTTCCAGAGCACAGAGCTCAGCCTGTTTCCTGCTTGGGAACACCCCCACCCCCAACACACACACACACACACACACACATACACACACACACACACCATGAAGGCCACTGGCTCCAGGAAGGCCCCCAGGCATGGGAGAGGATGCTCAGGAGTTGTTGAGTCAGACTTGGCTTCTGAGCACATCCAAGCTTCATCATGAGTGGGAGGAATGGCAGCTGCCCATCCCAGTCACTTCACCCTCAGGGCTTTGGCAGAGCCACAGCTCAGGCCTCGAAGAATCCAAGATCTATGGGAAGGATGCTTGAACAGGCTGTAGCAACTGGAGGGGTCTGTGACTCACTTCGTGCCCATGGTCCTGGCACACACACAAGACACACTTTGTGAATGGTGTTACTATTTTGTAGCAGTAATAAGGTGATAACCTCTCAGAAACTCCTTCCAGGACAAAGATTAAGCTAATGGTTAACTAGGCCATACCTTCAACTTGAAACTGTTTTCTCTGTTTACCCCGTTGGTGGTGGGTCTTGAACTTGGGGCCTGGGCTCTGTCTCTGAGCTCTTTTTCTCAAGGCTAGCACTCTACCACTTTGAGCCGCTTCTGGTTGTCTGGTGATTAATTGGAGATAAGAGTCCTAACTGGGCTGGCTTTGAACTGTGATCCTCAGATCTCAGCCTCCTGTGTAGCTAGGATAACAGGTGTGAGCCACCAACTCCTGGCTTGCGACTGTTTGAACTATGCATATCTTCCTCACCTTTTCCCCTAATGCTCCCCAATTAACCAGAAGCCACTGTATATCCCTCCGAAGATGACTGAGATGTACTGAAGTGCTGTCTTCCCATGGCCGCCATGTAATAAATCTCCTCTCTCTGCCCTTCACTGCTGTCTCTTTATTTGGCAAATGAGGGTAAGTGACTGGCCCTCACTTGGGACTGCTAGATTGTAAGCCTGGTAGGGAAGTCTGAAAATCCAGTTTTACCATGTGATCAGGTGGTCTTTCTTGGGAGTCTGAGACAATGGCAAAGGCTGCTGTTGTCTGGTTGGTGTGGTCTTGACCAAAACACCAACAGACAATAAATAGCCTTAGAAGAGACACAAGCTCCCGTGACTCCGTGACTCATCCCCAACTGGTGGCCTCGTCACCATGGCTCAGCTCTGGATGCTTCTGTGCCCTTGAGCCTCCATCCCTGCCCACAAGCAAGAGAACTGAGTTCAGCACCCCAGTCACTGACTCACCTTGACCTTCACCCCAGGTGACAGGTCTCCTTTGCCAGAGGCAGATACTGCAGTTTTACTTGCTTGTCAGTAATAAGTAGTGGCAGGCTGGGTGGGCCAAGCCTGAGCTATGAGTCCAAAAGGCGCTAGTGGCTCACACCTATAATCTTAGCTACTCAGGAAGCTGAGATCCGAGGATCACGGTTCAAAGCCAGCCCAGGCAGGAAAGACTAGGAGACTCTAATCTCCAATAAACCATTAAAAAAAAGCCAGAAGTGGAACTGTGGATCAAAGTGTTAGAGCACTAGCCTTGAGCAAAAAAAAAAAAAAAATGAAACTCAGGGACAGCAGCCTAGGCCCTGAGTTCAACAGGTCCAACACACACACACACACACACACACACACACACACACACACACACACACACACAACTGAGTCCTAACTGTTGGGCCTGCATAGCAAGTATGGACCGCTGCCAATTTCTTCCATATGCCAAGGGGCCTACTGCTTCAGAGCCCACTTAGGGCCATCTTGGAGGCTATGATGTCTTTTCCTCTCTAGCTCAAGTGTTGCCAGGCTTCAGGGTAAGAAAATCAAAGAAGTCAGGGCCCTGCATGGGCCCACAGTCAGGTTCCTAAGGGGTAAATACTGATCCAGGCAGGGAAGAGGCCTGAACACCACCACCACCACCCACCAACCACCCCCCCACCCCCGCAGCATGCTGGGAAATCCTGGAAGGTAGTTAGGCCTCTGCAGGAATCAGCTATCCTTGACAGCCTCCCCCTGGGCTCTTCCCTAGCCTTCCTCCAGGGGTCTCCATTCAGTGCAAACTCCACCCAATAGGATCAAAGGGTGCAGATCAGATACTGGGGTGAGCAGGAAGCAGATAGAAGGTACTATAATTGCATCTGCATTATGGATGGTTCTTCAGTGGCCCCCTCCTCTCCCTCCCCACCCCTGCAGAGAGAAAGGCACCTGGCTGGTCAGCAGACAAGCCATCTCAGATTTCTGCCTGGCTGGGTCTCCCAACTGCAGTGGTTGGGGGCTGCTCTGGCAGCAACCTGCTCCTTTACACCCCCAGGCCAGAGTGCAGGGTCTTGGCCTTGTCTGTCACCACCCACCTCGACATGCAGTGAATTTATGGAAACAGGACAGCTCCTCAGGGACCACCACTCCCTGCCAAACAACCCTGTCCATACCCAACTACTTATCTCAGAGGTGTGGGAAAAAGATCAGGGCTCCCCATCTCCCCCATCACACACATCCCATCCCGTGGCACACATGCCACACATAGGCCAGTTCTTTCAGTACCACAAGGCGCCTGGCCACCGCCGGAGAGCAAAGCCACGAGGAACAGAAGCTGGAGAAAACCCGGTATGGAGAGTCATCTATTGAACACTTTCTCCCAGCCTGCTCCGCTCTCCCACCAGAGTCAGGGCCTGGCTGCCCCCTATTCCTTGGCTTTAGGCCCCTGCTAGATTCCACTCCTCAGCCACCAGATCATCACAGGGGACGGCTGTCTCCACGCTGCCCGCTCCAGGGCCTTGTGTTGTCTCTGCGGAGAGCCCTGCCCAGCTGTGGCTGGTCTCTGGGCCTCTTGGCCCCCACCCACAGCCTGCCCTGGCTTTCCGGGTGGGAAGTGCCTGCTGTCAGCTCCACCCCCTTCATGGCTCCAGCTCCCGAGACAGGCGCGAGAGTTCCCGCTGGTTGTCGATGACCTTCAACTGCTGGACATAAGCCCAGGTGCTGGCTGGACTCCGGGTGCTCAGGGACTGCTCCGAGCCTGGAGGGGAGAGGAGGAGACAGTTAGGGAGGTCCCCAGGCTACTTCATGCAAGAGCTGAACCTCACCCTTCCCACTCCAAGCTCTCCTGTCATACCACCCACCCTGTACTTCTAGTCCCAGACCAACAACTCATAGATTACAGAAACAGAAGAGTACTATGGCTAAGAGCAGAGTCTGGGGACAAATATGACCCCAAGATTTAGTTTTCAAACTTGCATTAAACTAAAAAACACACTAACTAATATAAGCCAGGCACCAACGGCTCATACTTATAATCTTGGCTACTCAGGAGGCTGAGATCTGGAGGATCATGAGTTGAGGCCAGTGCGGGCAGTAAAGTCTATGAGACTCCCATCTCCACAATGACCAACAAGAAGACACAGGGGTGGCTCAAGTGATAAAATGCCTGTCTAGCAAGTACGCCAAGTGAATGTGAGGCCTTGAGTTCAAGCCCCAGTAGCAAGGAAACAACAACAACAAATATCAACAACATACTAAAACCTAAGCCAGGTGTGGTGAAAACTGCCTGTAATCTCTCCAGAGACAGGCAGAAATATACCTAGTTCAAGGCCTGGGTTATTTATGTTTCTCTAAAACTGAAAAATAATTTGTAGCAATATATATATGTAAACACATATGTATATACATATATATACATATGTATATGTATATATATATGTATATACATATATGTATCTGTATGTGTACACATGTGTATATATATATATATGTATATACATATATTTTATGAAGGTTTTCAAAGGGAAAGGATGGATATAAGTCTCTTTTCTGAGGGGTATCATTCCTGGGGCATGACCTTAGGGCCTGGGAGCTGTCCCTGAGTTTTTCTGCTCAAGTCTAACTCTCTACCACTTGAGCCACAGCTCCACTTCTGGCTCTTTTGGTGTTTTATTGGAGTCTCTTAGACTTTCCTGTCAGGCTGGCTTTGTGTGCCATGATCCTCAGATCTCAGCCTTCCAAGTAGCTAGGATTACAGGTGTGAGCCACCAGAGGCTGATGTGATGAGTCTTATTTTTAAAAACAAATTGCCAGGCATGATGGTACAGAACTGTAATCCCAGCAGTCAGAAGACTAAGGCAGGAGGGTTGTGAGTTTGAGGCCAGCCTGGGTGATAGAGTAGAATAAATGGATAAAATAAAAATACAAAATAGAAAGTGAATAACTATGAATTCAGGTTAGTGGTTTCTGGGGACAGTGGGGAGGGGGAGAGGAAAGGGACAGAAGGAGACACATCATGGCAATGTTCTCTTGCTTACACTGAATCTGGAGGTGTTCCTTATAGTACCTGAATACAGACCAAGGGCCAGTGATGGAACTGTGATAAGAACCATGGACTGTGAGTTTCACAAAACTAAAGCCCAATCAAAGCAACAAAAGTAGTCAGACAACCATGGCTCATGCCTGTAATCTTAGCTACTCAGGAAGCTGAGGTCTAAGGATTGTAGCCTGAAGCCAGTTGGAAAGTCCATGATGACACTCTTACCTCCAATTAACCACAAACAAGCCAGAAGTACAGCTGTGGCTCAAGTAGAGTGCCACCCTTGAGCAAAAAAGTTCAGCTACAGAGCCTAGGCCCTAGTTTCAAACCCCAGGACCAGCCCCTGCCCTCAAAAGGAGTAAGCTAGGTGCCAATGCCTCAAGTCTATAATCCTAGCTATTCAGGAAGTTGAGACTTGAGGATCATGGTTCAAATCCTGCTCAGGCAGGAAAGTCTGGGAGATTCCATTTCTAATATAACCAACAAAATGCCAAGCTGGAGGTACAATTCAAGTGTAGAGTACTAACTGAGCAAGTCAACCAAGAAAGTTCAAACTCTAGTACTGGAGGGGGAAAAAAAGCTACTCAGTTTCCAGCTCTACTACTAAGTAATCGTGTGGCCTTTTGCAAGTAGCTTCAAGGCTACAGGCCTTTCCTCCTCTTTAAGTTGAGCTGACAGCATCTCCTGCCTGGCAGAGGTGCAGAAAGAGAGCCAACTCATGCACATAGGGCCTGGCTTCACCCCAGCACCTGGCCAGCACCTGGCCAGCACCAGGAAATGCTGGCCATGTACCTAGTGATTGACAGCTGTGATTGACAGTTGCCACAGATCCCACCCCTGCCAACCACTCACACGTGGAAATCCTGGATGCTTGGCTGTCCTCATGGAGGTGGGAAACTCGGTTTCTGAGGGGTGAGAGAGGCACTGGGTGGGGGGAAAGAGGAAGAGTCAGGGAGGCGGGGCCATGCCTGGGGGTCCCAAGGGGACACAGGTTGGGGGCACAGGGAGTGGGGGAAGTGGAGGGAGGCAGGACCTCTCTCACCAGTGTTGTGGCTTCGGCAATGGTGCAGCATCCGTACAGCTCTGGCCATCATACGCTGTGGACAACACAGAACATGAGGCCTGGCCTGGGAACAGAAGCCGGGCCTGCCTGTGGGGTGGCTGCAGGTCCAAGTTTCCTTTGATCCCCATGCTACTAGAAACTAGGGGGCTGTAAGAGATGGGGTTACAGTTGCTTCACCCAAGCACACCCGGAAGTCCATCAGGAACCAGGCAGTGGATGAAGACAAAGTTCGGGAAGGGCTGCAAGAGGCTGGTGCTTGCTGAATGGAGAAACATTTGAGAGTCACCCCAATGGGAGTTGCTCCAATAGCTCCCATAGAGAACTTCCAATGTGGGGTGGAGAGGGGTACTGCAGAGGCTACCTAACAGTTCCTATTAATAATTCTATTACTCTTCGTATGTGTGTGTGTGTGTGTGTGTATGCCCACACATGCGTGCGCATGCCCACACACATCAGTCTTGAGGCTTGAACTCAGGGCATGGGCACAGTCCCTAAACTTTTGTGCTCAAGGCTAGTGCTCTACTATTTTAGCCACAGCTCCACTTCCACTTGTTTAATTGGAGGTAAGAGTCTCTGGGGCTTTCCTGGAGGAGCTGGTTTCCAACTGTGTCTGTAGTGCTCAGCCTCCCCAGTAGCTAGGATTACAGGCCTAAAGCCACTGGCACCCAGATCTGTTCTTTTTTTTTAAATATATATTTTAAATTATCTTGAAGTAGTTGTACAGAAGAATTTCATTGAACCTGTCAGTGTGTGAGCACAATGCATCTTGATCATCACCCCTTTCATGATTCTCACCCATCTCTTCTTCTATTACTTGTAACAGCCTAGGCCACCCCCCCCCCCAGCCCTCTCCTGCCTGACCCACACTGTCAGGGGAACCCCCAATCCCTCACCTTACCATTTTTTCAAAGTTGATGAGGTTCTCTACTAGTGTGTGGTTTCCCTCGTGGATGAAGGTCATATCTGCCAAGAGGGGATGGGGTTTAGGGATCCCCCAACTCCTTCCCCTCCCGCAGCCCAGCCGAGGCAAAAAAAAAAAAATCCAACAACAGAGTACCAAGACCTGTCCCAGCCTGCCACAGTCTCTGCCACCCCAGCCCTTGTGGCAGGTAGCCGTTTCCTGGTATCTCTTCAGCCTCAGAGAACAGGCCCCCAGTCTTCATGTCCAACCTCTCTTCTAAGCCACAAACCTTTTTATAATTTTTTCTATGTTAGTCCTGGGGCTTCAAAGCAGGGCCTTGCACTCTTTCTTGGCTTTTTTGCTCACAGTTGGTACTCAACCACTAGAGCCATCCATCCACTTTCTGCTTTTTTTTTTTTTGCTGGTTGATTGGAAATATAAATCTCATGGATTTGTCTACTGGGGCTTCAAACCATGATCCTTAGATCTCAGCCTCCTGAGTAGCTATGATCACAGGCATGAGCCACCAGTGCCCAGCCCACCTACAACCTTCTAACTGAACTGTGCTTCCAGGGTCAGAGTGCTTGAGGTAAAATCATTAGATGGCCAGTGGGAGGCAGGGGTAGGGGGCGTGTCCTCCTACCTTTGAGAAGGAGGGGCATGAAGGGGATGACAGGAGGGGAGAGCTTGGTGAGGGCCAATCGGTACACTCGGTGGTTCCAAGAGGGGTCCTGAGGAGAAAGAAGCCACACTGAGGAGGAGCCAAACAGCAAGAGGCTCTGAGCCCAACCTCTTCCAAGCCTCAGATCTCACCAGAGGAGGCTCTAAGCTGGTGGCTTCCTGAGCAACCACAGCCCTCAAGAAAGCCAGGTGCTGGTGGCTCAGACCTGTAATCCTAACTACCCAGGAGGCTTTGGAGAACTAAGGATTAGGGTTCAAAGCTAGTCTGGGCAAGAAAGTCTGTGAGGCTCTAATCTCCAGTTAACTAGCAAAAAAGCAACAACAACAAAAAATAAAAACAGAGGTAGAGCTGTGAATCAAGTGGGAGAGTGCTAGCCTTGAACAAAAAGGCTCAGGGACAGAATGGGGGACTGGCAGGCAGAGAAGGAAGGAAGGAAGGAAGGAAGGAAGGAAGGAAGGAAGGAAGGAAGGAAGGAAGGAAGGAAGGAAGGAAGGAAGGACAGAAAGAAAAAGAAAGACAGACAGACAGACAGAAAGAAAGAAAGAGAGAGAGAGAGAGAAAAAGGGGGCTGGGAAGGTGGCTCAGTGGTAGAGCGCTTGCCTTGCATGCATGAGGCCCTGGGTTTGATTCCTCAGCACCACATAAGGGGAAAAGAAAGGAAGATAGGGAGGAAGAAAGGAAGGAAAGCAGGCAGGCAGGCTTCATGAGTATTAATCCTAGGGCCCTGAGGCTTCTGGAAACCTCTGTCTCTTCTTTCTCTCTGGTGGGGAAATTTCTCTGAACCTCTTGAGCTTCACAAAGCAAACTGTTTTCTCAAGAGCTCTCAGGACTGTGCTGATTGCAATACCTCTGCTCCATTCTCTCCCAAACACTTCAAAACCCTCAAACATTCTTGGGGGTGGAGATGTCAACTCATGCCTCGTCTTTCTTTCTGTCCTTGTTTGTTTGTTTGTTTTAAGCTGGTGCTAGGGATTGAACTCAGGACCTGGGTGCTCATCCTTAGCTCTTTGTACTCAAGGCTAGCACTCTACCACTCAAGCCACAGCTCCATTTTTGGCTTTTTTTTTGATAGTTCATTGGAGAAGGCTTTTCTGCCCAGGGTTGGCTTTGATCTTCAGACCTCAGCCTCCTGAATGGCTAGGATTACAGGCATGAGCCAGCTCCCAGCTTCTTGCCTCATCTTTGCTCTAGTCTTGTTCACAAGCCTGTGGAAGGTTCTGGAGGGAGCTCCTGAACACTTTTGGCATACTATGAGTGCTTTGTGCCAGGCAGCTAGCCCAGTCACAGGGCAGGATGGCTGGAGTCTAGAGTCCATCACACCCAGGGACAGCTTTATACTCAGTCTTCCCAAAGACTCTGCTATCCAGAACAAAGTGTCATACCACCATCCCGCACACCTTATCCCTCAGCCAGCTCCCCAAACTCACAGGCCTTCCGGAAAGCCAAGAGTCAGGTTGCTTTTCATTTTGTTTCCGGTTATTGTTTTCTGTTGTGTTTTTGTATCAGGGGGCTTGAACTCAAGGCCTCACACTCTCACTTGGCTTTTTTTTTTTTTTCTTTTCTTTTTTTTTTTGGGGTCCGGTAGTGGGGCCTGAACTCTGGGTCTGGGCGCTGTCCCTCAGCTCTTCAGCTCAAGGCTAGCACTCTACCACTTGAGCCACAGCGCCATTTCCGGCTTTTTTCTTTTTGCTTATGTGGTGCTGAGGAATCGAACCCAGGGCCTCATGCATGCAAGGCAAGCACTCTACCACTGAGCCACCTTCCTAGCCCTCACTCAGCTTTTTCACTCAAGGCTGGTACTCTACCACTTGAGCCATACCTCCACTGCCAGCTTTTTGCTGGCTAACTAGAGATAAAAGTCTCATGGATTTCTCTGCCCGGGCTGGCTTTGAACAGTGATCCTCAGATCTCAGCCTTCTGAGTAGTTAGGATTACAGGCATGAGCCACCAGCTCCCAACAAGAGCAGGCTTCTAGAAGGAAGCATGGATGACCAGGCACACTCACCAGCAGCCTCTCCAGGGCCGAGTACAGCTTCCGGACTTTGTGGGGCAGCCGCTGTGAACACGAGGAGAGGGGGGTGAGCTGCCCCCCGTGGGGACAGGAGCCTCACCCAAGCCCTCACCCAGACGCAGGAGGCCTGACCTCAGAACTGGATCCTCCAGCAATACCTACCTCCCAGGTATGGGCTAGACGGCTGATGGCCGAGTTGCTAAGGCCAAACATGACAGCAAAGAAGGAGTTGAGGTTCTTCTGCTCCTTGAGGCTGGGTGAAAACCCAGAGAACCTTCAGGGGAAGTGGCCGTGTACCCAGCACCCACTGGCCCCTGCTGCCTCTGTAAGGTGAGCTGGGGTGGAGGAGGGGACCCAAGCACAAAAGGAGATGGGGGATCTGGCAATGCAGAGTTGAGACCAGACAGCCTGGGGCCTGTGCTGCACTCTCCATCCCCATCTCCACGGGCACTCACTGGGCTGCCAGCTTGATGAACTTCCGGAGCAGCTGGGCCCGTGGACCGGGCACGGGGCAGAGACACAGCTCCGTGGCTACCCAGTACTGCAACTCATTGAAGCGACGCATGAAGCGCTCCAGGTTGGCCGTAGTGACGTCTCTCAGGTGCTGGGGGCCTAGCACGTAGTGGATCAGCTCTACCTGGACAGAGGGCAGAGGGCAGAACGGGTGTGCCCAGGAGGCCTGGCATCGCCTGCGCGCCTCCCGGCAGCTCTGCTGTCCATACCTGGTGGATGCTATTAAATAGGTTCCAGTCGTGGTCGGTCAGCTGGCCCGCCAGGTCCTTGGCGCTCATCACTTCCAGCACTTCCGCAGAGCCCACCGTGGGCCCAAGCTGCTCAGGGTGTGGGGTCTGCAGGTGGGAGAATGCTCAGGAGGGGTTGGGGTGCCTGAGAAACCAGGGGGAAAGCAACAGGGAAGGGAGACCAAGAGGGGTGCTTTGGCAGGTGTGTGTCTGTGTGTCTGTGTGTACATGGAGTACAGATGCCCGTAAGGGCTGGAACAAAGAGGCTCCCCAAAGGGGCATTTCCCCACTCCCTCTTTGTAGGACTGCTTGGGGGGGGGGGAGTCCTGTCTGATAGACAGCCCTAACTAGGGTAGGTCCTCTTTCTCCTGGGGAGCATCCCATCCTCAGCAGGCCCATCCCCTACTCCTTCCTCTTCCTGGCAGGACCAGCAACAGCCACAGCCAGGTTCCTCTTTCTGCTCTCCATGGCCTCCCCCAGAAGCCACCCTGGCCGCCCAGAGCTCATCCTGGCACTCCGCCTGGCCCCTACCAGCTCATGTATATCCTGTGGGTTTACAACAAAGAGCCGCTCGTTGAGCCCCAGGGATGTGGCCACACCGCGCGCCTCTGGCTTCAGGCCAATGGCATCTGCAAAGAGAGAAGAGGTTGTGCTGGGTCGGAGCAGGGAGGGAGGCCAGCTGGAGTCCAGGGCGGAGGACTGGTCTGGGAGGTTCCCTCCACTCACAGCTGGAACAGCTGTGCGGTGGTTCTAAGTGCACAGGTGCAAGTGGCCACAACTCCCACTGCCCCGGAGGGGAGATAAAAGGGATTCTTAATGAGATAGGCTGACCTTGGGTGACCTTCAACTTCCCTGAGCCTCAGTTTCCTTCTTCCTAAAATGGAGACAACAAGACTTGCCTGATTACTCCACAAGTCAAGTGAGTTCACTTAAGGCCATGTGGCTGTAAGTATGTGATGCTTCTAAAATAATAAAAAATATTAATGATAATGATAAAATTGTTTAAAACCTTTGAAGCTTGGTATAGATGGTTCATGCCTATAAACCTACCTACTCAGGAAGCTAAGATCTGAGGATTGTGGTTTGAAGTCAGCCTGAAAAGGGAAGTCCATGAGACTCTTATCTCCAATTAACCAGCAAAAACCCAGAAGTGGAGGCTGTGGCTTAAGTGGTAGAGTGCCAGCCCTGAGCAGAAAAGCTCAGGTACAGCATCCAGGCCCTGAGTTCAAAACAAAACAAAACAAAAAAAACTTGTCCAAATCTTGGTGATGATTTTTAGTCATGTTTGAGTGCCCAATCTCTAGACCAATGGCTTTCAAAATAAAGTATTCAAGACCATCCATGTATCCAGAAGAAAAAAAAAAGAAATTAGCAACTACTTATAGTTGATGTTCTCAAATATTTTGCCTTTTCAGTTTGTTAGCTTTATAACATGTTATTAGGAGGGTAATAAATGTATAATTTGTAGGCAAAATACACATTCATGAGGGAATCTATAGTAAAACATAATACTGGCATGGTTGTCTGTCAGTGGTCTAGAAATGAAGGATGTAAAAAAAAAAAAAGGCCAGTCATGTAGTCAGGTCTCAAGAACAATGAACTTGGGTCTGCTGCAATCCACCAGGTGGCCACCAGTGGGCAGTGCTTCCCAGAGCAGAGCACACCAGGGACTCGGCCTTTGCTCCCTTTCCTGAAGGGAAAAGGCTTTCCACATATGTACCCCTTGTCTGTTTTCCCTAACTTTCTCCAATTCCTGAATGCCTTAGGCTGCAACTTTTACAGACAACAGTGGGTTGTGATGTCATAAGCACTCTGAAAGAGGTCTTGATAATAATCCTTTTGCAACTGTATTTCAGGTTCTGGCTTAAGACCTCTGTTCTGTGCTTGGCACACATTAATCTAGTAAGCATGGTGGTCCTTCGTGATAAATACAATGCTGACAATCATATATAGGATGAGGACAGGGAGACCCAGAGGGGCTAAGTAACTCACCCAGGATTACACAGCAAAGTCATGGTTGGGCTGGGTGTGTGTGTGTGTGTGTGTGTGTGTGTGTGTGTGTGTGTGTGTGTGTGTGTGTGTGTGTGTGTGTGTGTGTGCGCGCGTGCGCGTGCCAGTACTGGGGCTTGAACTCAGGGCCTCATGCTCTTACTTGGCTTTTTTGCTCAAGGCTGCCTCTACTTCTGGCTTTTTGCTGGTTAATTGAAGATACGAGTCTCACAGACTTTTCTGCTCAGGGTGGTTTTGAACCATGATCATCAGATCTCAGCCTCTTGAGTAAATAGGATTACAGGTGTGAGCCACCAGTGCCTGGCTCTTACCCCTATTTTCCAAGAGTGAAATGGAGCGCACAGAGAGATTAAGTGTCCTGCCCAGGAACACACAGCAAGTGAACTAGAGGGCTGGTGTCAAATGCAGGCCGCAGACCCTGGCATTCAGGAGCTTAAACACCACGCGGATAGCAGTATGCATAGACATAATAAACCTCACACCAGTGCTAGTAATAGAGGAAATTAGGACCTTTGTTCAGGATCTGGGCCTGAAGTCCATCCAGAGACACAACGTACCGCCTGCAGAATTGACCTTCACCAGCACCTGGCCTTTGGTCCAGCCATCCTCCCGGGCCAGGGCGGCCATCACCTCCCTCACCGAGGCTGTCACAGGCAGCTGCAGGGTCAGCACGGAGTGGTCAGGCCGGCAGATCTCATAGGGCACTGCAGAGGAAATGGGACTGAGCTGTGCCCCCTTTCCTACACCCCAGAGGTGTGGAAGCACGGGCCTGGAGCCTCGGCAAGGCACTCAGGTAATAGGCCTGCCTGATGGCCTGGAGCAGAGACTCCACAGAGAACAGTATACCTCCCTCATCGCAGGCCCCCTGAGATCAAAGTCACCATGGCAGAGTGAGCGAGGCAGAGACAGAGAGGAACCGAGGCCAAGCCATGCCTGGCTGGCCCTGGCCATTCACCTTTGTCCCCAGCTCGGATGGCACCGTGGTTGCTGGGGAGGGAATCATCCTGGCTGGGAAGCCACGCAGACGGGGACCGGGCCTGGAAGGGAGAGAGTATGAGGCACCAAGAAGCCAGGGTAGGGCAGGCCAGACTGGGAGGGGACAGCAGGGGTCTGTCACACTGCCACGTCACCTGCTTAATCGAAGGGAGGTAAGTCACTGGGCCAAGAAGCTAGGAAGGATGGGTGCCAGTGGCTCATGCTTCTAATCCTAGCTACTTAGGAGGCTGAGATCTGAGGATTGCAGTTCAAGGCCGGCCTGCACAGGAAAGGCTACCCAAAAAGCCAGAAGTGGAGCTGTGGCTCAAGTGGTAGAGCACTAACTAGCCTTGAGCAAATGAAGCTCAGGGACAGCACCTAGGCCCTGAGTTCAAGCCCTAGGACTTGCACTGGAAAAGAAAAGAAATGAGGAGATGGATAGGCAAGTCTATACCCTCCCTCTGTGGGCTCATCGCTCTGTACCTACGAGGTGCTTAGCTGTTCTAAGATGAAAACACCTTCTCCTCCATGCCCTCCTCAGCTACTCGTGCTGTAAACCAGACATTGTTCTAAGTATCTAAAATACAGAAGTGTCATTATTATTCTCCTTTAGTGGATGAGACAAATGTGGATTCCCAAGGCCACCCAGAAGCTGTGTGGCAGGGCTTCTTCCTGTCCACCAACATGACTGTGTCAGCTGGGCCTGCATCTGGCACACAGTGGGCTCCATGCAGGACAGAACTTCTGCTCCTGGCCTGTCCTAACACGGTCCTGTTCCCACCCAAATTCCTTGCTTGCTCTAGTACTGACTTCCCCCGCTCCAGCTCTGGGTGTGGTAGGTCTCCAGGCCCAGCCCGCACTCTCCTGCACCCCCTAGATTCCCAGGGAGAGGTGCTTCAGAGTCCTCCACAGGCCTTGTGGCCCACCTGTGTAGAGTATGCTTCAAATGCCACCCGGGAGCTGATGGCTCACATCTGTCATCCTAGCTACTCAGAAGGCTGAGATCTGAGGATCAGAGTCCAAAGTCGGCCCTGGCAGGAAAGCCCAAGAGACTCTTAGCTCTAAGTAATCACCAAAAAGCCAGAAGTGGCGCCATGGCTCAAGTGGTAGAGCACAAAAGCTCAGGAATAGACAGCCCCCAGGCCCTGAGTTCGAGACCAGCCCACACACACACACACACACACACACACACACACACACTCTGCTACCACTGTTAGGTATAGTGACACATGCCTGTGATCTCAGCCCTTGGGAGGTCAAGATAGGAGGATCAACAGAGAAAGGCCAGCCTGGCCTACACAGAGAGGACTTATTTCAAACAAATGTTAACTTTCTGGACTCTCCCTGGCTTGATGTGCCTCTCCTTACCCCAGACTATTTCTCTCTGCCTGTTACCTTGGGTGGGGGCCCCTTGGGGGCCCCTCCTGCCCCTGGCCAGTGGCATCGCTCCTCACTGAGATGGCCAGCACTTTCCCCCAACCTCTCACTTAGGTATGGCCACCTCTCCTTCTCCAGTGTTCAAAGCAGAGTCAAAGGAGCTGGGAGATAAAGCGGAGCTCTTCAGCTGACCTATCTGAATCTCAAATCTGAGCCTGTCAACCCTTCGGTCAAACCCTTCCACAGGTTGTGGTGATCTTAGGACAAAGGCCATGTTCTTCTCCATGGGCTGGCCTCCTTGGCCTCTCTAATACCCCCTTTTGCCCCTTCCTTCTCCAGGGCTGTCTTCCGGGTGCTTTTTATCCTCAACCCTCAGATTCTGCAAGTCTCAGCTCTAAGACATTCTTCCCTAAATCCACATGCCCAGTAAACATTTCCCTCCTCTCTTTCAGACCTGGTCTGACCTTAAACACTGTGGAAGGGCTGGGTGCCCAGTGGTTTGTGCCTTGTAATCTTAACTACTCAGGAGGCTGAGATCTGAGGATCATGATTTGAAGCCAGCCTAGGCAAGAAACTCTATGAGATTTTTTTTTTTTTTTTTTGTCAATCATGGGGCTTGAATTCTGGGCCTGGGGGCTGTCCCTCAGCAATTCAGCTCAAGGCTAGCGCTCTACCACCTGAGCCACAGCGCCACTTCTGGCTTTTTGGTGGTTAGTTAGCAATAAGAGTCTCATGGACTTCACTGCCTGGGCTGGCTTTGAACCATGATCCTCAGATCTCAGCCTCCTGAGTAGCTAGGATTACAGGCATGAGCCACCAGCGCCCAGCTTCTATGAGATTCTTTTTTTTTGTGGGGGGGTGTCCAGTCATGGGGCCTGAACTCTGGGCCTGGGCGCTGTCCCTCAGCTCTTCAGCTCAAGGCTAGCACTCTACCACTTGAGCCACAGCGCCACTTCCGGCTTTTTTCTTTTTGCTTATGTGGTGCTGAGGAATCGAACCCAGGCCTGAGGCATGCAAGACAAGCGCTCTACCACTGAGTCACCTTCCCAGCCCCTGCTATGAGATTCTTATCTCCAATTAACCACCAACAAAAAATATCTGGAAGTAGGAATGAGAAGGATCAAGTCAATGATCCTAAGAAAGCAAGGTCTATGCATTGTAATAAGTGCAAAGGCCCTGAGGTCAGGCCAAAAGAAGCAGCTCATGGAAGCCTCCAGCAAACAGGAGGGTGAGATGAGACATGCTTCTGGACACGTATTTGGGTTTTATTCTCAACACGCACCACCATCAGCCAAATCTACCTTGCTTTCCAGTCCTTTCTCTCTCTGTTCTTCAACCGAATTTCAGCTCCAGGTACCTTTTGACCTCCCTACCCTCACTCAGCTCCAGCCAGGAAGGGTGCTGGCCACATGGACTTCCTAGGGAGGGGCTTCATCTTCCTCTGGGCTACCCCTGAATTGATCACCAGGAAGCTGCAGGGCTCAGGGTGACCTCAGACAGGGGACCTCATCTCCCAGATCTAATGGTGTGTTACCTCCCAAGGAAGGAAAGGCCCTTGGGGAAGTGGGTAAGGTTGCTGCGTTAGGCCTCAGTGGCCGAAACCATCCATCACAGCCCCTTGGATATTCTGTGCCTTGCTTTATAGGGCTTCTCCTGTGGGCTTGGGCTGGAGGAGCAGAGGGAAGAAGGCAAGCCTGGAGGCACAGGGAGTTCACAGGGCAGGGCAGCCACCTTGATCTGAGGAGATGCATTCCCGCAGCCATTTTCCAACCTGCAAGCGAGAAGAGAGGTTGGTGAGAGGGCCTCTGGGCACCCGGCAGGCAAACAGCCAGGCGGAGGGAACAGCAGTCCCAGCCTGGCCCCAGCCCATCCTCCCCAGCCACTCCAAGAGAAGCAAGAGCCAGTGGCTCACACCTGCAATCCTTACTACTACTCAGGAGGCTGAGATCTGAGGATCATGGTTCAAGGCCACAGCAGACAGAAAAGTCCACAAGACTCATTTACAGTTAACCAGCAAAAAGGCAAAAGTGAGCCAGGTGCTGGTGGCTCACGTCTGTAATCCTAGCTACTCAGGAGGCTGAGATCTACGGATCATGGTTCAAAGCCAGTCCGGGCAGGAAAGTCCGTGAGACTCTTATCTCCAATTAACTACCAGAAAACTGGAAGTGGCACTGTGACTCAAGTGGTAGAGCGCTGGCCTTGAGCTAAAGAGCACAGGGACAGTGCACAGGCCCAGAGTTCGAGACCCATGACCGCCCCCCACCACCAAAAAAAAAAGGCAAAAGTGTAGCTGTAGCTCAAGTGTAGCTGGCTCAATACCAGCCTGGAGTTAAAAAGCTAAGTTTAGGACATTGCCCAGGCCTTGAATTCAAGCCTTAGTACCAGCACGCATGCACACACACATACACACACACACACACACACACACACACACACACAAGCAGGATTTGGGGGGAGGATGAGATGAGGACCTGGGCCCTGTATGTGATTTCTCAACCATGGGAGAGATGAACCCAATGGTCTGGATGACCTCTTGACCCCTGACCCCCAGTTTCTCCATAGGACGTCTGGGAAGGCAAGACAAAGTCCAGGCAATGCACAAGACCTGGCACTGAAGGCAGTGGTGATTTACATGGGATGAGCAAATGGACTAATGTGGGGCACAGGAGGTCAGAATGCACACTCAGGATCCTGACAGGGACAGCCAATTGTAATAAGTGCTGTCACTTAGATTTCTTTCCTCCCTCCCTCCCACTTTCCCTCCCTCTCTCCTTCGTTCCTTCCTTCTTTCCTTCCTTCCTTCCTTCCTTCCTTCCTTCCTTCCTTCCTTCCTTCCTTCCTTCCTTCCTTCCTTCTTTCCTTCCTTCCTCCCTCCCTCCCTCCATCCCTCCCTCCCTCCTTCCCTCCCTTTCTTTTTTTGCTCCAATACTGGGGCTTCAGCTCAGATTCTGGGCACTGTCCCCTTCGCTTCACCCCCTCACCCCGCCCCCTCAAGGTTGGCCCTCTACCACTTAAACCACACCTCCATGTCTGGCTCTTTGTTTTGGTGCTTAACTGAGGCTAAGAGTCTCACAGACTTTCCTGTCCAGCTGGTTTGGAACCGCAATCCTCCTAGCTCAGCCTCCGAGTAGCTAGGATTGTAGACGTGAGCCACCAGCTCTCGCCTCTCAAATTTCTAATGCCAGGTTACTTGACCAGAGCGCATGCTCACTCGGCCCTACCAGGTGTGAAGAGGACTTCCACCAAAGCATTGTCACCTGTGGTGTCGTCGTCTCTCTGGCCACTGCTCCTTCTGTAGGTTGCTAAGTCGGGGATCCATCTTCACCAGGTCTGAGAGTTTCTGGAAACAGCAAAGAACCCCTAAGACTCTTTACTGTGTGTTGTTGCATCCTCTCTGGGCAGCCCCTGGCAGCTCTGCCCCCATCCCCACTACCTGGAGGAAGCTGGCAACCACAGGGTCCTTGTGGAGCATGGGGCTGTACAACGCCACCCACTGGCTGACCAGGCGCAGGATCTGCTGCCTCTTGTTACAGATGTAGGTGCTGCGCTCCTGCTCGCTGCCCCCGGCAGGCTCTGCGGGCTCCGCGTGGAAGGTGGGCACTGACTGGTCAAGGGATCCATGACGTATAACCAGGGCCCCACCCAGCCATCACACCTGGGCAGAGAAGGATCAGGGGACACAGAGCCCACCCACCGGCCGGGACTGACACCAGAGAAGGCTCATGACAGTCATACTAACATGTCATCCCTGACCCCCATGCACAGGGCCCTGGGGCTGGAAGGATATTGGTGCAGCAGGGCAGCGCACAGCTGGGCACTAGGCATGAAGACGCTATGGGTCAGGAGGAAGTCACTGAGGAATGTCTCTGTTGTGCAAAGTGGGGGATGTGAGAGGGCTTCAGAATATAGAGCAGACGTGTGTGCCCAGCTGGAGTGTCCTGTCCTCATGTCTACTATAGGAAAGGCACCGGCAGCATCCAGCACCTGAGACAGTGCTCCTCACCCAAGCCCAAAGTGCAGGTAAGAACACTCGCTGTCAGCTGCCTACCTGTACCCACCCAGCACCCAATGAGGTCAGCACATCTGGCCTCTCCCAAGGCACTGACCACCCAATGAGTCAGAGAACAGGCAGGGTGTCTCTTGCCCCTACCTGTTGGGTCATGAGCATTGGAATCTGCCCGCATAGCCTCCAATAGGAGCTCTAGGATCTTCTCTGGGGTGCCAGACATCACTGTGTACCTAGCAGAAATGGCAAATCCATTGCATGTAGACTGATCTTCTTCCCCACATTGGGGACACATCAGTAATCAATCATATCACTTCCTGATTTTCTCCTCTTTGTTCCCATTCCCACACCAGGACAGACATCAATAATCCATTATATCACTTCCCAATTTGTCAACCTCATTCCATCTTGGTGTGGACAGGTGGGGAGCTGACCCAAGAAGTGCATCCTCTTTCTTTGATGCCTCCTACCCTCTGGAGACCAGAGGCTAGGGGCCATGACATAGAAAAGGGCCAAAGATTGTGAAGTCCAAGTAGAAGTGTTACCGGTTCTTCCCTGGGGTTGGAGGGCGAGAAGAGCCAGTCCCTTGAGAGGCTCTCTCCAGCACCAGCACCACTTTGCCATGTTCTTCCAGCCTCATGGTCTTTGCTTCTACATCCTGGGGAATAAGTAGCATGGAGGCTTGATACGACCAGAACTCTTACTTAGACTGTATCTCCTCCTCCTCCCTTCTAGACTCAGAGCACATGATCTTCCCAAGAACATTTGGCCCTTGTTCTGCTACATATGCCCTAGCCAGAGCCTCATTTTTTTTTTTGGGGGGGGGGAGACTTTTTGTGGGACTGAACTCAGGACCTGGGTGCTGTCCCTGTACATCTTTGCTTCAAGTTAGCACTCTACCACTTGAGCCATAGTTCTACTCTGGCCTCTCTCTCTCTCTCTCTCTCTCTCTCTCTCTCTCTCTCTCTCTCTCTCTCTCTCTCTCTCTCTCTCTTAATTGGCAATAAAAGTCTCACAGGCTTTCCTGCCCAGACTGGCAGTGAACTGTGACCCTTAGATCTCAGCCTCCTAAGTAGCTAGGATTAGAGGTGTAAGCCACCAGCACCCAGCTCAAGCCTCCTTTTGCACCTAACCTCTCACCTCTGAACCCCCACCAGTCCCCATGGGAGCCCACACCAGTCCTGAGGTCTCGCGGAACCCTCAGCATGCTACAGGACCTCATCTCTTTACACACCACTAGGCCCGCAGTCCCTGCTCCTACACATCTCAGTTTCTTGTCGGCTCTCTCTGGTGCTTGCTCTTGGTCCCCACCCCACCCCACTTCTCAGGGCCAAATCCCATGCCCTCCCTTTCCCCCCTCACCCCCCTCCCAACAATGGCACCTTGATGATGCGGTTAAAATCCTGCTTGTCCACACGCAGGAAATGACAGTTATCTTCTCGAAGGATGATGGTGGCTGCCCGGGGAGCATCATTCACCAGAGCCAACTGTCCAAAGTCATCTCCCTCATGCAGTGTGGTCACCAGCCCCTGCATCCAAAATGGTCATGGCCCTGTCCCCACTACCCGCGCCCGCCCCCCCCAGCCCTTTCCAGGAGAGCCCAGACAGGATCAGCAGCCAGGGACTGGCTAAAGCACGAGGACATAAACCTGGTGGGGAGGAGGGGGTGGGCTGGAAGGAGGACTCACCTTACCATGGGTCACCACATTGACAGACCCCTTCCAGATAATGTACCATGAGGTGCCCTTGTCCCCCTGGCTAAACACTGAAAGAAGCACAGATCAGACAAGGTCCTTACTGTCATCCACCTCACCGCCATGGTCCCTGCCTGGTCCAGGACCCTCTGCCCAGCCTGACTTACACACGGTGCCTGCTTTGCTGTGCGGTTCAAAAAGCAGAACAGCTGCTAATTCCCGCTTCACCTGTGGATGAGAAGGGATGGGCGAGAGGGTGTCAGTGGCAGCAAGCTCTAGTCAAGAAGGTCCAGGTTGGGCAGATTCAAAGAGCACTAGGGAACAGAGATGTGGCTGAGCCAGGCATGCCTGGGATATGGCAGAGACTTTGCTAGAGAAGGAAATGAGTTGGGAGCCGATGGCCCACACCTGCAATCCCAGCTTCTCAGAAGGCTGAAATCTGAGGATCACAGCTCAGAGTGAACTCAGGCAGGAAAAGTCCACGAGACTCTTATCCAATTAGTCAGCAAGAAACTGGAAGTAGAGCTGTGTCTCAAGTGGTAGAGTGCCAGTTATGAGCAAACAAAACAAAACAAAAAAAAGCGACAGGGCTTAGGCCCTGAGTTCAAATTCAAGCCTCAGATGAGGGGAAGACAGCCCGGCAAGGAGTCCCTAGGATAGAACTGGAAGAGGAGGTCCTGGGGAACAGGACAGGCCTGGCTAGCAGAGTGGGCAAAGCGCACTGACCGAGTTGGAGAGGTGAGCCACGGCCTTGATGTGTAACAGTTCCTCAAAGATAAGGTCCAGCTCCTCATCGGTGCGTTGACCTGGGCTGCAGGTACAGCGACACATGGGCTGTGGTGTGGGGCCAGCAGAGCAGCCAGTGCCAACCACCCATCCACCCACCCGCCTCGGGCCTGGAGCCCATGAATGCTGTCGATCGTTATCAATACTGGGCTAACCTTTGTGGCGTGAGCCCTGATGCCAGATACCTTTCACGCATGGTTTCCCTCTGCCCTCACACCAGTCTTATGACGCGAGCACTATTATTCTGGCTAGAAGGGGAAGCTGCCATGGAAAGGCCCAAGGTCACTCAGTGAGTCGCTAGCTGCTCAGGCTGGAATTTGAACCCCAATCTACCTGCCTTCTCCACAACCCAACTGCACGGACCCATCACAAGGCCAGACTACCACACCAGAACTCAGGGCTTCTGTTTCCTGGTGTCTCCCTTCCTCTTAGACATGGGATCTGAACTTCACAAGGGACCTGGGTTCAGGGATGCAGTAAGTGACTCACGGCTTTCGAAGTGCCACCGTGAGCAGGGCATCGGGTCCCCGCTGGGACAGTAGGGCCATTGCCTCTACCAACTCCTCCTCCAGTTCATGGGCTCCTGCAGGCTCTGGCTCTGGCCCAGGAAACCGATAAAACTGGGCCTCTCGGTCCTGGAAGGTCCAGTCGTGTTTCACTGGGGGGATGGAGGCCCAGGTGTGATGGAAGAGAGGAAATTGAAGCCATGTAGGTAATATGGTCCTCATTGTGATGCTTACTGCCTCCCCAGCCCACCCCCAGCCCACCCCCAGCCCCTGTGAGGCCTACTTCCCTGGTCTGCCCTGGCCCTGGTATCCCACTGGGGCTCAGGCTCACCATGGCATAAGGCACCTTCATCCAGCAGCACCTGGCAGATGCCCACAGCTTGGCTCCGTGAATGGACACCAAGCCCCAGTGCCAAGATCCCGTCCACTAACTCCCGGCCAGAGCAGCACTGCCTGTAGGAAGTGGGAAGAGGAGAAAGGGGAGTAGGATCAACACCATCAGAAAGGCAAAAGTCAGGGCTGGGAAGGTGGCTCAGTGGTAGAGCGCTTGCCTTGCATGCATGAGGCCCTGGGTTCCATTCCCCAGCACCACATAAGCAAAAAGAAAAAAAGCCAGAAGTGGTGCTGTGGCTCAAGTGGTAGAGTACTAGCCTTGAGCTGAAGAGCTGAGGGACAGCGCCCAGGCCCAGAGTTCAGGCTCCACAACCGAACCCCCTCAAAAAAAGAAAAAAGAAAAAAGAAAGGCAAAAGTCAGGGAAATGGATGGACCTAGAGCAAATCAAGTCATGTGAGGTAAGCCAAACTCAGAGAGACAAACAGCACCATATTTTCTCTCATATGCAGAAGCCAGATCTAAAATATACTGGGCACAATGAATTATACAGGACTCTAGGCATTCATACACAGTGAGACCAAAGGAAGATACTCTTAGGAGAGGAACACAAAGGCACAATGCCTATGTGCCTCTGGTCATATAAAATAATATTTATCAAAATGAACTCTAGGAAATGGAAACAAGAAGCTTTTTCTTTGTCGCTGTTTTTGGTTTTATTTTCTTTTTGTCTTGTTTGTTTGTTTCTCTGTCTTGGAGTGTAAGGGGAGCACAGAAATTGAGGGACAAAGAGTGAACAAATGCAGCAGTGGAACTCACTGGACACTATGCAGGAAATGAACTATACAACTTGTGGGTAGGGATGGAAGGGAAAACCTGGGAGAGAGTAAAGCAAGGGGTGACAGTGTCCAAAAAGAAATGTACCTTTTATCTGACTTATGTAACTGTAAGCCCTCAGTACATCACCTTTATAATGATAGAAAATTTGAAAAGAAAGAAAGAAGGAAGGGGAAAGGAAGGAAGGGAGGGAGTGAGGGAGGAAGGGAGGGAGAAAGGAAGGAAGGAGGGAAGGAAGGAAGGAAGGAAGGAAGAAAGGAAGGAAGGAAGCAAGGAAGCAAGGAAGGGTGGGTCAGATCCAAGCCCAGATCAGGTCTAGGCACAGATGCTTAAAATGGCAAAGAGAAAACCATGGGTGTAGGCCAGGTGGCTCACTCCTGTAATCCTAGTTACTCCCAGAGACTGAGATCTGAGGATTACAGTTCAAAGCCAGCACATACAGGAAAGTCCATGAGACTCCGATTAATCAGCACAAAGCTGGAAATGTGGCTCAAGTGGTAGAGTACTAGTCTTGAGCAAAATTTTAAAAAGCCAAGCAAGAGTATAAGGCTCTGAGTTCAAGTCCCAATATCAGCAAGCAAGCATGGAAGTACGCATGCACACACTCACAAATACACACACACACACACACATACACAAATTAATAATGGGGGTGATCAGAGGCAGGCAGGCCCCCTTCCACTCACCGATAGAGCCGCAGGTGGTACTTCCGGTCACGGATGAGTGTTGGAAAGGTGACTAGCAGATGCCGGTACAGGTGTTTCCCAGCCCTGAGCACCCTCTCTGTGGAGGCCTTAAAAGGAGGATGGACATGGCTGGCTCAGACCCTGGAACCTTCATCCTGCCGCCCCCTTCCCCGCTCCACCCCTGTTCTGTACCTGCTCCAGGCTCACACTGAAGTCCAGGGACTCCTCGCTGCTCGTGAGCGGTGTCTAGGCAGCAGAGAGTGCACAGGTCAGTGCCAGTGCTTCAAATATAGCTGTGGAAACGCTCCCTGTCCCACTCACCCTCAGCTTTGCTTACTCCATTCCTGGCCCCACACACATCTGACAAATAGAGACTTGCTATCTACGCTGTGTGGCAGGTACCCCCTCTTCTCTACCCCTCTTCAGCAGGTCCTGTTCTTCCTTCCATGCCCACCCACGCTGTCCCTATAGGTGACAGCCCAGGGGTGTGCAGGCAGCCAGGGAAACGCCCCCATGTCAGGGAAGGAATGACAACATAGGAAGGAGGATGAGGATGAAGGATAAGAAGACCCAGCTAGGTTCTGGAGGCTCAGGCCTGTAATCCTAGCTACTGCGGTGACTGAGATCTGGTGATCACAGTTCAAAGCCAGCCTCAGAACCGGAGAGACTCTTATCTCCAATTAGCCACCAAAACAAACAAACAAACAAAAACAAAGTAGAGCTGTGGCTTAAGTGTTAGACACCAGCCTTGAGTGACAAAGCTAAAGGATAGTGGTCAGGCCCTGAGTTCAAGCTCCAGTGCTGCACACACACACATACACACACACACACACACACACACACACATATGAAGACCAAAGGGCTGGGACACCCACTCATAGGCAGAGACCACAGGCCAAGGCCCCAGGCCTAGCTTCTCCACCATACCATAGAACTATGTGGGTCTTGTGCCCCCCATTGGGCCTTTGTTCAGCCTGGTAGTTAATAGCACAAATTCCAGAGTCAGATTCCTATATTCAGATCTTTGCTCCTCTGTTTCCTAGTGGCCTGACCCTAACAAGTGATTTAGTCTGTCCCAATGTCAGTTTCCTCATGTAGATGACCTGTAAAGCTCTAACAATGCTTCTGGAAGGGGCATGTGAATCAATACGTACTGAATATTTAAACCATTGCCCGGCATATGGCTGTGTATACACGCCACTATTATTATTCATCAGGGAAGCACAGGGTGGGGCTACTTGCTGGAAACTTCTTTCTTCTGCAAGATGCTGCAAGTCCATAAACTTGGAAGCATGAGTAAGGCCTTGATAGCCTACAGGACAGACTCAGGAAGACAGAGTTTATTATAGCAACAACTCAGTTGCACGGGGTGGGGGGGTGGGGGCTGGGATCCAGCAACCAGGGATCCATGAAAGCCCACACTGCCTTCCTTTTTAACAGCCACCTGAGAATAATGGAATTTTTTGACAGTTCCTGAGAATGGCCGCTCCTCAACAAGCCCTAGTAAAGGCAGAGCACCTGCCTTTGTGAAACATGTTCACTAACTTGCTTTTAAAAAAAAAAAGTTTGACATTGATCAAGAAACATTGCACTCATAATTTGACTTATACAATTGTAACTCACGTGTACAACCACTTAATAATAATATTTAAGCTGGGGGAGGGGTTGGGTTAGGAGGGATGGGGGAAAATGGTGAAGGGAGACAGATATCAGTCAAGATGCCTTGTATTCATAAACTGCTCTGTTGAATGGCAACTCCTTTGTACAACTACCTAAAGATAATAAAGACATAATCAAAACAATCAAATGTGGGAGCTGGTGGCTTACACTTGTCAACCTGGCTACTCATGTGGCTGAGATCTGAGGATCTCAGTTCCAAGCTAGCCCCAGGCAGACAAACCCATGAGACGCATATCTCCAATTAACCAACAGAAGCCAGAAGTGGAGCTGTGACTCAAATGGTAGAGCACCAGTCTCGAGTGGAAAAGCCAAGCAAGAGTGTGAAGCCCTGAGTTCCAGCCCCAGTACCAGCACATGCACAAGCACATGTGCACACATACACACACACACACACATACACGAGTCAGGTGTGAAATAAGCCAAGCAGGTGTCATCTGGTCTCTGTGACACAGGTAGAAACAAGAGTCTTGAGATGAAGGGTCCTGGGTAAGTCAGCCCTTGGGAATGCCAGCCAGCGATCAGTAACCTCAAATTCCTTCCCACAGTTGTGGCATTCTCAGCCTTACTCCGCCGTACCTGCCTGTTTCTTCTAGCTTCCCTTCCTCTCTCCTTTCCCGATTTCCTCCATGCACTCAGAGCCTTGCGACGGGACTTGGTTGCAGAGCTGGAACCTGAGTCTCCTCCCCTGGCAGGCCCCTAATGATAGGCATCACGCCACCATGCCAAAGCAGAAATTTGAGGTCTGGTGTGCATGGGCTCCCAGCCCAGGGCTGGGCGGAAGTCAGTAGGTGTCCCAAGGGTATCCCTGCCCGGGTCATGGGGCCCAATCCAGTGCCAGATACAGAGCCCTGGGGACTTGAGGACAGGAAATGAGAAGGAGGAGGAGTCAGGAAGGGAGGAAGGGCAGGAATGCTACCCAGCCAGCCCCCCTGTGTCGGAACAAACAGTGCCTGAGTGCTAATGAGTTCTTGTTGCTCATGTCAAAATGCCCAGGTCACCCCAGTCCCTGCCCTGAGCTCTTAGCTGGTGCTCACAACCCCAAGCTTCCAGCTCCAGCTCCCTTCCTGGTATTATTGTGACCTAGGAGGGGAGGTCATGTGGCCAAGACTGGGCATTTCCTGTCCCATCCCAAGGGATGGGCATGAGAGGGTCGGAGAAGGGGGCTTGTGGATGCTACCTAAAGTCATCCTATTTTTCCAAGGAAAGCAGAAGCCCGTATTGCTGAAGTAATTGGCCAGAGTCCCAGGACGACTTAGAAATGGAAGATTCTTCTCCCTGACTGCTACCCATGCTGAGCCTGTGTAAGTGTTTGTATCTTATTTCACAGCTAGAAAGAAAGGAGGTTACATAACTGCCATGACCACTGGTAAACAGCATTCACACTCATGCCTGTCTGGCTCCAAAGCTCACAATCTTGGCTACCCAAAATGCCCATAGCATCTACCCTCAAGGATCCCCCCGGCCCCCACACAGAGTGTCCTAGACCGGAAGACAACACAAGTGTTCTGCCTTCAGGAATGTTCCATGAGTGAAGTCAGCTGGACTACCAGAGGCTAATAGAATTAGGCTTGGTCCATCTGGGCCCCAACAATGTTTGCATCCATTCGGGCCTCTGGGAATGGGCTAGAGGGAGACTAGTGTTTAGCCTCAATGGGCTCCAAAAGCCTGAGTTTGAATTCTGATTCTCCTATTACAACCTGGTTGTGCAACGTTAAGAGGACGATTTAAGCTTCAGTTTCCTCATCTGTAAAAGGGAGGTAAAGGAAAATACTAGTGCCTAGCCCACAGGGTTATTGTAAGGATCAGATGGGTTAATAAAGCTGGGTGCTTGTAGCTCACACCTGTTATCCTAGTTACTCAGGAGGCTGAGATCTGAGGATCCTGGTTTGAAACCAGCCCAGACAGACAAATCTGGAAGACTCTTGCCTCCAACTAACTAGCAAAAAGCTGGAAGTAGAAGTGGGAGAGCACTAGCCTTGGGCAAAAGAGCTAAAGGATAGCACCCTGGCCTGAGTTCAAGCCTCAGAACTAGTGTGTGCACACATGCATGCACACACACACACACACACACACACACACCTACTGGTGGCTCATACCTATAAATTTCGCTACACAGGAGGCTGAGATCTGATGATCATGGTGCAAAGCCAGCCTGGGCAGGAAAGTCTGTGAGACTCTTATCTCCATTTAACCACCAGAAACCCAGTAGTGCAGTTGTGGCTCACAGGAGTAAAGCATTAGCCTTAAGCATAAAGCAACTCAGGGACAGTGCCCCAACCCTGAGCTCAAGTCCCACAACTGACAAAAAATAAAAAGAGTTAATAATAGAAAGCATATACCTCAGTGTCTATCTTGTAGTATGTGATTCCTAAATGTTAAATAACTACAAATTTTATTATTTTATGATGGGTACTAACCACCCCCAACACATGCAAATATATGTTGTTGCATAGCTCATCTAATAACCCTGAGGTCATGTGGAGGTTCTCAGCTGGTATGGGCCAAGGTGGCTTATTTCCAGACAAGGAAGATTCCGGGTGGAAGAGGAGGTGCTATGGGTGGCCAGCCCCACCTTGCCAACCTGTCAGCGAATGTCATAGCCAGGCTAGAGGGACAGGCATAGAGCCAGATGGTATGGGGACCTGTCAGACCAGTTCCCTTGGTCATGGCTAAAGTCCCAAGCGAGGCTGTGTGTGGTGGACAGGGAAAGATGCATGGGGTTTCATAGGCTTGACCTGGGGGTCAGCTACAGAGGACACAGTGAAGCCATGTACCCATGGCTCACACTGGTAATCCTAGTTACTCAGGGGGTTGAAATGTGAGGATGACAGTTCAAAGCTAGCCCAGGCAGAAAAGTTGGTAGATGCTTATCTGCAATGACCCACCAAAAAGCAAGACATGGGGCTGTGGCTCAAAGCGATAGAGCACTAGCTTTGAGCACAAAAACTCAGAGACAGCTCTCAGGCCTTGATTTCAAGCCCCAGGGTCGGTACAAACAAACTGAAGAAACCTCACAAAAACTTGAACTTCACAGCCAGATTTATCTTCCTGGGATGGGGCAAAGCCTAGCTTTGTCACTTGCAGCTCTGCAACTCTCACTGAACCTCCATTTTCACAGCTATAACATGGAGAAGAAAACATTAGGGCCTATTCCATCCCACTGTTGAGAGCTATTGTTCTATAGGCTAGAGGGAAGCGCTCATAATAAACAGTATGTGGAATTAGGCAGTCTTTCGGTCTTAGCTACTGCCATTATTTCGACAGACTGGATGAACTCATGTCTTTGGTTTTAGAGAACAGGGCCACCCTTCTCCAGAAATGGTCACCTGATGAATAGCGTGCTAGGCTCCTGAGCATGTGCAGCCCACCAGAGATCACTTTGATCCTTCCTCCACCCCTAAACAACCATCAAACAAGAACTCCTCTCTCCCTCATAGTTTCTACAGATGCCTTTATCCCATCCGAAGGCTACATTGGCCCCAATTGTATCTGCACCCAACCTTAAGCCTTCTTCTTGTACTGTTTTCATTTTTCTCTTGTCTTTGTTTGATTTTCATTTCTCTTATCCTGGTCTAGGAGAGAATGCTTCAGGTGTGGGAGTCTAGAAGATTGATAGAATACTACTGAGTTTTCTAAGAGGTAGGTGTGGAGTAAAAACAAAACAAAAACCACCCCAGCTCTGTGCTCCTGGACTCTGAGTTCACCCCCTTTTAGGGTGCACATTCCCTCTTGAGAGCACTTTATGGACAAAAAGGCATCAAATGGTCAAAAGTGAGCCAGGAACTAGTGGCTCATGCCTGTCATCAAGAGGCTGAGATCTGAAGACTGCAGTTCAAAGCCAGCCCAGGCAAGAAAGTCTGTGAGACTCTTCTCTCCAATTAACCACCAGAAAACCAGAAGGCTAGAGTGCTAGCCTTGAGCTGAAGTAAGTTCTGAGACAGTGTCCAGGCCCTGAGTTCAAGCCCCACAAGTGACAAAAACAAAAAACAAAAAAAAAGAGGTAAAAGGTGAAGGCTCACAGACATCCACAATCCATCCTTAAAACCTAAGAGAGATGGATTGAAATAACCCCACTCCTGTGCCCCCAGCTTGCCTCTAGCCCTCCACCCCCAACACACACACACACACACACACACACACACACACACACACACACACACACACACACACACACACACACCATAATCCTTTGCTTCCCCAACACCTGGAAGGGGAGGAGCCTTCCTTCTATGCCTTTGACCTCCTTCACTCTCCAGCAACTCTTACCCCCACCCTTCCGGCCTCCTACTCCAAACTGGCCCTTCAATTCTGAGCTCAGGGGAGTCCGGAGACAGCCAGGCGGCCTCCTCCACCTCCCCACTCCAGACTTTGGGTCCCTGGAGATCCTCCAGTGACCTCATTGTCCTGGTACCTGACCTTCTCCCTCCCTCCAGCTACCTTGCCTCCCCAAGCTGGGAAGAGGACAGGAAATGCACAAGTAATTATAGCCTAAGAGGGAAGATGGGAGGGAGGGTTCCAGCCCATTGGCTCCCAGCAGTGGCAACAGCCATGACCCTTGCTCCCCTGTTGGGGAGCAAGATCAGACCCCAGAGGATCTGGTCAGGATGACTGTAGGGAAGAGGGGGACTGCAGAGAGGTGTGATACACATCTGGAATCCTCACTGAGTTCCTACCACAAACATCTTCCTCTTGAGGGTCTCTGTTTCCCCCACCCAGCCTCCTATTTCAGTACATCGAAAAGGCGATTGGACAAGATGAGGAAGAGGAAGGAGATGGCGGTGGTTTTCCTATTCAAAGTGACTTGCCTGGCTAGGTGCTGGCTGCTGTAGCTCATGTCTATAATCCCAACTACTCAAGGAAGCTGAGCTCTACGGATCATGGTTCAAAGCCAGTCCTGGCAGGAAAGTCTATGAGACCAGCAAAAAGCCAGACATAGAGCTGTGGCTCAAGTGGTAAAGCTCTAGCCTGGAGCAAAAAAAATAAATAAAGGACAGCACACAGGCCCTGAGTTCAAGCCTCAATACTGGTATGTGTGCATATGTGCACGAGCGCGCGCGCGCACACACACACACACACACACACACACACACACAGTGACTTGCTCCTTGAACATTGAATTCTCAAGTTTGTCACCTGCTTGCTCCTGCCTCCACTTCTGTGCCCTCATCTTCCCCCCCCACAAATGCACTCAGGGGGGGCACAGAGCACACCTCGCTGACTCTCAGGGAAAGCAGCTCTTAAGCCTGCTGAGTGGGATGTAAGAGGCTCCCCGGTGACTGGGATAAAAGTCCCCTTCCCTCCCTGGCTCCCCATTCTTGCTGCCCCCATCTCCATTCATCAGCTCCAAACTTATCAGAATCCTCCCAAGTCCCCCACCCTACAAGTCAGGAAACAAGCAGTGTCCAAGATTCACAAGCAGATTCGGCCCTGTTCAATTGTTCACTAAAAGCAAATGTTGCCACGGTGACGTGTCAAGATCAGTAACTAAGCTTTACTTCCCTCTCCACTTGACCTGACCCTCCCTCACCCATCTTCTACCCCAACCCAGAGAGAACACACAATGCCTTACCTCAATGCCTAGCACACAGAGGCAATGAGCCAGCAGTCCCTGGTGGCTCACCCCTGTAATCCTAGCCTACTCAGGAAGCTGAGATCTGAGGACCAGGGTTCAAAGCCAGCTTGGCTTTGAGATTCTTGAGAGAATCTTATCTCCAATTAACTATCAAATAGCCAAAAGTGGAGCTGTGGCTCAAAGTGGTAGAGCATTAGCGCCCATGTCCTGAGTTCAAGTCCCCGGGATGGACACAATAACCCTTCCTTCTTTCCCCAATACTGGAATAGGAGCACTACACACACACACACACACACACACACACACACACACACACACACACACACACACAGCTACTATGTGAAACACCCACAGGTATCTGAGGCCAGGTTTTCACACCCTCTACCCACCCCAGCAATACCCCTCACTGTTCCCAGAGCAAGTTGGCCCACCAGCATCCCAGACTTCCTTTCCAGCCCTATACCTGGCCTAGCATGGGGATGTGGGTGTGGGTACTCACCCAGCGAAGGCCCTGGATACGGCTGGGTCGCCGGTGCTGGAGCAGCAGCTGATAGGAACAGCTCCTGGGCCGGTGCATTCTTTTCAGCACCATTTCCAGCAGTGACCCCTCCGGGACAACGTCAGGGAGACTCCCCACCTGCAGTGCTCCCAGTGCTGGACTGTCCTCCACAGCCAGGCCCACCTGCCAGCGACTCTCACCTGGCCAGCCCACCTGTGATATGGAGAGGAGGAAGGTGGACAGCCATAGAGAGGGGATTGGGCAAGAGCAGGATCTCAACGCAGCTGTCCTGGGCAGATAAGACTTCCTTAGACTCCTTGGGGCTGGTCAGGCGGAGGTGCTACAAACCCTTCCAGCAGCCCGGGGAGGAGGGACAGGAAGACCTTTGCTGGAGTGCAGCCCGCAGGCCTGGTACAATTAGGGGGGTGGGGGGGGGTCTCCAGCTGGCTTCCAGAGAAGAAGACCAGGCCTCTTCCTCAGACTTCTCTAGAATTCTGCCTCTCTCCATTGTTCAAAGTCCCTGGCAAGGATTTGCACCCCCCCTCCCATCAACATGAAACTGTGGGCTCACTGGATGCCCCAGAAATTCAGCTTTGGCTCCAACCTCCCTCCCCTCCTCCCTCCCCTACACCCACCCAAACTCCCCACCGGGTCAGCTTCTTCTCTCTCGCTTGCTCCTCCCTGACCAACCCTCCCAACCATACCCACCTTCATGGTTCTTCGTGTAAGCTTCACCTCCGTTGGAGCCTGGAGGGGTGTCGCCTAAATCCGGAGTGGGGTGGGGGGGCGGGCAGTGAACAGAACCAGTTCTGAATTCCAGAAAGCAAGATGCAGGGGCCACCCCGTGTTGAATGAGTCGAGGGCTGGGGGGTGTGGGGGACACCCCCCCACACACACTCCCCAGTGACTAGGAGCCCCCGAGCCGGGACGAAAGAGCCAGCTGGCACCGGGCGCCCAAGCGAGGCTGCAGCTGGCACTGGGCCGGGCGGGAGCTGTCACACCCCCTGGCCCAGCCCGCCCCGCGCCCCTCCCCGGACCAGCCGAGGGGGCGGGGAGGAAGCGCCCGGAATTACCGAAGGGGAGGGTGGAAGGAAGGGCGGGCACGGGCAGAGGAGCCCGAGAAACCCTAGTGCATGGGAGCGGCCCTAGGGGTGAACGCAGCCGCTGGGGTGCCAGGAGTTAGGGGCGAAGAGGGGCCAAGCTGGCCGCCACGTGGCCGGGAGGAGAAATGCAAACAAGGAAATCAGAGGAAAGGGGGGAAGGGGTGAGTCATTGTGGGGGCCGCACCCGGGAGGGAAATCCGGGCTGGGGCCACTTCCCGGCCAGGGGACGTCCAGCCTCCTGTTTGAGTTCAGGGTCTCTCCAGCAGCCCGAGGGAGGGACTGGGCAGCTTTCCCGCGGGGAATCCCGCTGCCGATCTTCCCCACTGTTGCCTTCCCAGATGCACGCACAGGGCACCTGAGGGGAAATTGAGGCAGGAGTGGAGGAACTGACGGACTGAGAGGTAAAGGGATAGGATGGATGGGTGGGTGGATCAATGGATGGAATGGATGGACAAACAGAACCGTGGAGGGGGGTTGGGGATTTAGGCCAGTGGAAGAGTACTTGCCTGGGAAGTTCAAGGCCCTGAGTTTGGTCCTTCAGCTCTGAAGAAAAAAAAAAAAAAAGGATGGATGGATGGATAGTGAAACAGGTGGGTGAATGGATGAATGGATAGATAGATAGATGCACAGATGGTTTTGGTGGATGGGTAGATGGATGGATGGGTGAAGGGATGGACAAGTGGGGGATGGATGGATGGATGGATGGATGGATGGATGGATGGATGGATGGATGGATGGATAGATAGATGGACAAGTGGGTGGGTGGGTGGGAAGATGGATGAATGGATGAAGGAATGGACAAGTGGGTGGATGGATGGATGGATAGATGGATAAGTGGGTAGGTGGGTGGATGGATGGATGGATGGATGGATGGATGGATGGATGGATGGATGGATGATGAAGGCCCTTGTGGCCCTTGGAGAACAGACACAGTTCTAAGGGCCCTGGTCCTTACCACCAAGAATCAGTGAAGCAGAAGCCTGGACTCCAGCATTCTGCTCTCAGGCCCAGTACCTAGGGGGTCCCACCACTCTCTGGGCCTCAGACTCCATCACAGTTGGCTCAGTGAAGCCGTCTTCTCCCCTTTTATCCTTCCAAGAGTTCAGAGACTGTGACCCATGGACAGCGACTTTCATGGTATCCCATAATTGCTCAGAATGATAATGAGGGTTTAAAATAGAAGGCACAAGGCTTCTCCAGTGTTCTAGGATTCGGTTATTTTTTTTCTCGCCTTCTCTTCTATTTTCCTACTGTCATTTGATCCTGCCTGGTCAGGGAAGCAAATATCTCACTAATGAGCATTGTCTCTCAGATTTTTTACTCAAGGCTGGTGATTCATTGGAGATAAGAGCCTTAGGAACTGTCCTGCCTGGGATAGCCTTAAACCTCAATCCTCATTTCTTAGCCTCTTGAGTAGCTAAGTCTACAGACATGAACCACCAGTGCCTGGCAAGAATCTGTACTTTGAATGAACATCCAGGTCATTTACTGGGTCCACATTTGGAGTAACACTAGTGGAATATTCAGTGGCACTCCAGAGAAGGAGGGGAGCCTGACAATGAATCTAGCCCAAGTTCCTAAAATTTAGAAGAATAGCTAGGCTACTGATAGGGGGGGAAAAATAAAGATAAGCTGGGAGTCTCAGGTATGCTTGCAGAAAAGCTGAAGGGTGGGTAGGGTGGAGTAGTAAAGTTTTCAGTTTGCAGGGGACAGTGACCTGACCTAGAAAGTCTCTTGGGAGAATTTCCTGGGAAGGGCTGTGGGATGGGAAGTGTCCCTTACTTCCTATTTCTGTTGCCTTTTCTTGGAGAAAAACAGGTGGGAAAAACACTGGCAAAGTGACAAAGGGTATTTCCTTACCTGGGGACCTTTTAGGAGAGCCACAAAGGCTAACCCTGTGTCTAGCAATTTTGCTACGTGTTTTCCATGTTTTCATCCTCACCATAATCCTATGAAATAGGCACTCATTGCACATTGGGAAACTGAGGCTCAGAAATGTTAAAGTAAGTGATAAGAGTTTGGGCTGCTTGACTCCAGGTTGTCTGGCTGTACTTAACCTCAGGCTGCACTGCAATTGATTTTAGAAAGAGGAGACCCCACTGCCTACCTCCTAATAAAGGACGCTAAGACAAGGAAAGCAGGATACCAGTGGTTCACACCAGTGATCCTAGACACTCAGGAGGCTGGTATCTGAGGATTGCAGTTTGAAGTCATCTTGGGCAGCAAAGTCCATGAGATTTTTTTTTTATCTCCAATAACCAGCCCCCCAAAAAGCTACAAGTGAACTATAGCTCAAGTGGTAGAGCACCAGTCTTGAGCAGAAAAAGCTAAAGGAACTCAGTACCCAGGCCCTGAGTTCAAGCCCCAGTACTGACACAAAAAGGAAGGGAGGGAGAGCACTTGCCTAAGGTGTGTAAGGCCTCAGTGCCACCAAAAAGAAAAAGAAAAGAGAAGGAAAGAAAGAAATGTGAACTTTGTCTTATGAGGGGTAAAAAAGGAAGGGAGGAAGGAGGAAGGGAGGCCAAGAGGCAGTGAACCTGTATAGCAGGTCCCTCCTTCTCTCACATCCAATCAGGCACCAAGTCTAGTTGGTTCAGCCAATGGCATATCTCTTGTGTCCCTCTGTTCCTCCCACCCCCACTACAAGTACTATAGCCCAGGGGTGATCTCCAGCACTTGCTGTGCTCAGCATGATTGTGTTGGTATTGCTCATTCATCCTTGAAGTCTTTGTTGTTGTTCTTTGTTTGTTTGTTTGTTTGTGCCAGTACTGGGGGCCTGGGCACTGTCCCTTAGCTTTTCCCCTCAAGGCTAGCACTCTGTCACTTAAACCACAGCTCCACTTCTGGCTTTTTGCTGGCTCATTGGAGATAAGAGCCTCATGGACTTTGCTGCCAGGCTGGCTTTGAACCTGGAGATCTCAGCCTTCTGAATAGCTAGGGATTATAGGCATGAACCAACAGTGGCTTATCGTTATCCATTAGCCTTCCAAGGACTGTTATTTGCAAGTGAGGAAACTGATGCACAGAGAGGTGAAGTCAAGTAGCTGCCTGAGCTCACCAGGCTAGCACAGTGGTAAGATTTAGGCTCAGGCAGAGCACATAGGCCTAAGCACTGCCTTATATAACAACATGCTCTCCTTCACTCTTATCTCGATGGCTGCTCTTAGCATGGCCTTCTTCCCATGTGATGTCACTGGCATCTTTAAAGACTCTCAGCTTCATCTCAAGCTATTAACTGTAGGTGGCAGGCACTCTGCTGGAAATCTTGGGCAGTCGACGCTGTCCCAAAACTGCAGGAACACAGAGCCTATTGGAATTTTCTCTCTAACACACTAATTATCTCCCCAACACACTAATCTGCCTGGGTCTCCCTACCCAATCCAGAGAATGGCATAAAGCAGATGCTTGGGTGGAGATGATATACAGGAGAAATATAGAAATGAGCTGGGCCTGCTATGAGCCTATTTCCTGCAGGGAGCAGGAAAGCGTGGGAGTGAAAAGGGCTGATTTTCCAGGTCTTTTCTTTATTGTACTGGGGCTTGAACTCAGAGTCTCGAGCTCTACGTTGGCTTTTTCACTCAACGCTGGTGCTCTATCATTTGAGCCACACCTCTACTTCCAGCTTCTGCTAGCTAATTGAAGATAAGAGTCTCACAGACATTTCTGCTCAGGCTGGCTTTGAACTATTATCATCCTATCTCAGTCTCCTGAGTAGCTAGGATTATAGGCATGAAACACCAGTGCCCAGTGCGTTTTTTGTTTGTTTTTGGTTGTACAAAGGTTTGAACTCAAGAGCTGAACTTGCTAGGAATTCACTCTGCCACTTACTTAAGCCTAGCCCCCAGCCCCTTTTAGCTTTTATTTACATGTGTACTTATTATTTACTTATATTGGATAAGGTCTCACATTTTGAATATACTTTTATTGTTATTAAGGTGTTGTTTACAGGGCTTATCATTTCATAAGCCAGGTAATGTGTACATTATTATTTTTTTGGACAATGTCACCTCATGGTTCACTTTTCTCTAGCTTCTCCTTCCCATCCCTGCCCACAAATTAAATAGTTCATTTTCCACATAGTGTATACTGAATAGTATGATTGCATTTGTTCACCTTTCCTCCCTCTCTTTCTGTGCCTCCCTTCCCCCCCTAAAAAAATCACCCCAAAACAAAAATAAAAAACATGTTAAGGTCTCACATTTTGCCTTCCACTCAGATCCTTTCATGTGTATAACACCTTTCCCTACCCCACCCCCCCTTTTTTTGAGACAATCTCTATTTGTAGCCCAGCCTAGCCTCAAACTTGAGACCCTCCTGCCTTAAGCCCCCCCCCCCAAGTACTAGGATTACGGGTGTATACCAGTTCATTTACAAGGTGTTCCTCTCAAAACACAGCCATGTCATTTGACGTTGGAGGAAGTTTGTAACTAATAGGCCTCTCACAGGACAGCAGAAAAGAGCCTGCATGGAGACAGACCCTGAAATAAGGTAGTAAGACTTCACACCTTGGCCATGGCTGATCTAGAATGGGGCAAGATTGCAATGAGAACCCAGCTCCCCTCATCTGCATTTTACCTCCTGGATCTATGAAGTCAGAGTCTCTCTGCCTTGCCCTTCCATGGCCCTTCTCCCAATGGCAGTTCCAGTTCAGTTCCCTGTCTCCTCCCCTGCCCATTCCTGGGGTGGGGGCAGAAGCAGGGAGCTGGAATGTTGCTAGGCACCAAGCCAAGCCTTCCTAGCACTAACAGGTCCCATCCAGTCACTCGTGAGCCATTTATGACATTGATGGGGGGGGGGGGGGAGGTAGAGGCAAGCTAGGCTCTTGCTTTCTCCACATAGGGG